TTTATACAAATTCAAATTGTATATAATCATTTTGTACACTTATAATAATACAATTCATTTTATACACTTCGTTTTTGTACAGTTTTCTGCCCAAGTGTCTTTCTCTTTCTTGTTTTATACACTTCGTTTTATACAATTTGTTGTATATGTACAGCGAATTATACAGTTTCTATGTTTGCTATGGAGCGCAATTATGCAAACTTTGTTATAGCATACAAATATGAATTTTTTATTTGCTATATGCGAAAGTTGCCCAAATTAATATAGACGAGAATATAAAATATAATTATTTTATAAAGATATTATTTAATCGATAAAATAATATTTATTAATTAAAAGAGTGTTTCAATATAGCAAAATTTTTTGGGATGATATCTCTAAGAATTCAATAAATAAACTCACTTGTGAAACGTCATTTATGAACTTGAGGTCATGATTAGTGATCTCGGTGACTATAATAAAATGAACGTTAATAACTTGTTGGATGCTGAAAATGATACATGTTCAAAGGTCCAAAGTTTACAAAAAATTGTGAATATCATTTAAAAAATAAAGTTGAAGATGATATAATACATTGGAACCAGTTATAGTAAGGAAACACTTATCACACATAGAACTCTTCTTAATTTTATTGTGTGGTTCGAAAAGATCATATCGAAACTTTTGGATGCAGTGAGTAAATAAGAGACGAGGTTCAATTAGATTTGAATTTCAACAAAAAAAAATTTATGCATAAAATCATATTTCACTAAATTGTTTTAAATGTATATGTACTTTGAAAGAACTATTAATCATCATATTAATGCAACCATATATTTATATAGGGGCATTCTGAAAATATATTATCTTATTGAAATGAGTGATTTTATCCATTGACCCAAATCGAGATCGAAGAAAAATATTATCTTGAGAAGATTATTAATTAATCGAACATTAATTTAGTAAGATTTTACTGTAATTGTATTATAATTTCTAAAACACTAGACATGAGCCTATTCCTAAGCCACTAGACATTGACCCTATTTCCAATTTCAAAATTTAATTTTTCACCCGATTGCTGATCCACCACCCCAACCATCCCCCACCAACTAGCCCCCCACTCCTCACTCCACTCCCCATCCCCTCTCAAAAAAATTTGAGTTCCTTTTTAAAAATATTTTTATTTTAAAACTCCTCCCTCCCTCCCTCCCCTCCCCCCTCCCCCCGCCAGCTCCTACCCCCTACCAACCCCCCCTCCCTCCCCCACAAAAAAAAAGTTAATTTTATTTTTAAAAAATATTTTAAACTTCAAACTTTTATTTTTCACCTAACCCCTGCCCACCCCCCGCCAGCCCCCTCTCCCCAACCCCCAAAAAAATTAATTTTGTTTTTAAAAAATAGTTTCAACTTCAAATTTTAATTTTTCACCTATCCCATACATACCCACCCTCCCCACATCCACTCAAGAAAAATTATTTCTAAAAGATATTTTCAATTTCATAGATTATTTTCTACTCTAGTAAAAATAAAAAATATTTCTCAAAAAACATTTTTCATTCATAAATCAAACACTAAAAATCATTTCTGAAAAATATTTTCAACTCACCAACCAAACATGAGAAAATAAGTTCAAAATCTACTTGTTTTCTAGGAAAATATTTTCTAGGAATTTTTTTTTCATGGAAAACATTGTCCTTCATACCAAACACACCCGCATATTTAGCAACATTTTCTTTTAGATATTCTAATCTTAAAGATATATACATAAGTAACTCGTTCTTTTTTACGAATAAGAGAACTTATTTTCTAAAAATTTGGGAAAACAAAATTTTTTCACGGTAAAAGTCTAGACTTTATAAAAGAATCATCTAATATCATATAGTTGAGAAAAAAAAGTTGTAGCTTCAACTAATTATTTTACTTAGAGTGAACGTAGATAAAAGATCGAAAGAATCTTTAAATTCAAAATTTTGACATAATAATATTTATCATTTATAAAGCATTTTTTTTTAAAAAATAACTATTTAAAAGTATTTTTATTAATATATTTATGTGTCATTAAAAACTTAAAACTGATCAATAATTGATATACAATACACACAACACTTATTTCAATTAGAGATCAACAACTTGATGAAAGAAGGTAAATTAAAAAAATCAAGAATTAAGTCCAACAAAAAAAAGAACAGGCTATTTGATAAATAGATAATAATAAATATAGAAGAAATAATAGAAAGAAAAAAAAATGAAGTTCTTGCACACATTAACGAAAAAGACAAAAACAAAAAGAGTTGAAGCCCTTAGCATAAATTAATGCGCAAATTACACAATCACGTGAAAGAAAGTAAAAATTATAATTTTCCTCCCTTCATTATTGTGTGTCGTGCAATAATAAAGTAAGTATACATTTTTATAATGTGTGTGAATATCTCTCTCTATATTAATCTATAAGTGCGTATCAAAGCGTAAACTATACAATTACATTAAAAAATAAAATATATATATTTTTCTCTCTCCATCACGTGTGTCGTGCAACAATGAAGTACACATTTTTTCTATTTTTCCTTATAATATAATTGCATTCTTATAGCAATGTGCAAAACATGTATTTTGAACTGGTAATAAATAAATATAAAGTAATGCAAAAAAACTAAAAACTCTTTCACGCATAAATACTGAAAAAGACAAAAAAAAAAAGAAGAATTGAAGCTCTTCACACAAATCAAAGCTTAAAATACAGAGTCACGTAAAAAAAAAAAGACTTTATTTTCCCTCCCTCCATCACGTGTGTCATGCAACAATGAAGTACACATGTTTCTTGTTTAATTTTCATTATAACATAACGTTGTTCTTGTAGCAAGAAACATAGTTGTATTATAATTTCAAACCATAGCTTCTTTGATTAAATTCTTTTATATATATTTTTTTTCATTTTACAAATTCATTTTAAACTTAAGATTATGTTTTTTTTAGGTGACACTTTATTTCAATAATTAAATGAGATATTAAAGGTTCATTGAATTCTATTGAAAACTTTTTGCAAATATAGAGGATAATTCAGAATTCGAAGGTCATGAGTCATATTGTCTAAATGGGATAAATATATTATTTTCTTCAATTTTGAATTATAATTCAAGTTATTTATTTTTTTGATTTATATAAATAAATTGATCTAACATGTATTTTTAGCAATATTCTTTTAGTTACTCTAATCTTTTAGATATATACTTAAGTAGTTCATATTTTTTTTTATATAGATATAAGAGACCCTATTCTCTAAAATTTATGAGAGATTTTTTAGGTTAAAAATTTGGACTTTTATAAAAAAAATCATCTAATGAGAAAAAAATAAAAGTTGTTGCTTTAACCAAGGGTTTGCGGAGCCATAACCAGGGGTGTGCGGAGCCAGTATGTCTTTAGGGGTTTCATCAGAACCCTTTTCGAAGGAAAATATTATTATATTTGTACGGTTAAAATTATCTTTTATTTGTATATAATAGACGTCAAACCCCTTTCGACTAGTTCATATATATGTTTACTCCTTCGAATTTTGAACCCCATATTGAAAATTCTGACTCCGCCACTGAGATTTTAACTCAATTATCTTTACTCTGTATGAATGTTGATAAAGTTTGTTAAAAAACACCTATTTAAATATGATTTTATTAATATTTATATATCATCCTAAATTTTGGTATTAATCGATATTTAATATACACACACATTGATATGAATTATAGATTATACTTGATGAATGAAAGTAAATAACAAAAACAAGAATTAAGTCAAGCAAAAATCCTCTAAATAAATAATAATAAATGTAGAAGAAGTAATGGAAAGAAAAAACTGAAGCCCTTTGCACAGAGCTAAACGTAACTACATAATCACGTAAAAGAAACAAAAATTATACTTTTCCTCTGTCACATGTAAGTCAAACAATCTATTTATATTTTCAAACGCAAAAACTAATTATTGATAAAAGAATTTTGATCAAAAATAGCAAAACTAACAAAAATTGACCTTTATTATCATTATATAAGATTTGATTATGATAAGAAAGTTTTACTTTCATTATTTTATGTTTCTAAACTCAACAACTTTTATTTGTATTATCATTTTTAAGATTTAAAACTAAAATAATCATTTCGATGGATTAGGATTAACATAATTGTACCCGCAATCTATCTTGATCAATAAAATCATATTTTTTCATATTTTATTTGTATAGTTTATTTATTTTCCATATGTTTAAAATTTGTTGCAAACGAAATTTTGTTGATCCCTTGATTCTACTCTCCTAGAATTTATCTATGATTCGAGGGCCGTTAGTGGCGTATTTCTCGAAATAGGATGATTTACATTTTGACCTCTCTTTATAAATAAATCATCAATTTGTGGAGTATTCGAGATCTTGATCTCTTTATGAAATTTTCGAGATTCCTTTTAAGAGAATTTAGTACCTTTTATATAGGCATAAACTAGAGTTTAAAGTTGAGTAGCGTCCAAAAATTCTAATTTGAGTTTAATCCAATCTTGTATAGTCCCACATAATTTCAGTGTCTACACACATTGCAACAAGAGACATAAGTAAGTTATATTTTCTAACACAAAAACATAGGAGTAATTATTAATACAAAAATTTTAATCAAAATTGTAAAATTGACCTTTATTCTCATTATTTAAGATTTGATTACAATAGAAAAGTTTTACTGTCATTATTTTATGTTTCTAAACTCAATAATTTTTACTTTGTATTGTCATTTTTAAGATTTAAATTAAAATTATCATTTCATGAACTGAAATAATTTTTCTTTTCATAAATTAAGAATCAATTTGATTAGTTATAGTTAGTATATAAATTGAAGACTAAAATGACTTTTCTTATATATTGAGGATCATTTTAAATACGTGATATATATAAGGACACGAATAGTATAATACCCTTTCTTGAAGGACCATTTTGATAATTCCAAAACTTCCTTTTCCTCTTTCATACCCCTATATATTTGCTTCTCTTCCTCACTTTCTCCGCTTGTCCATGGCTTCCACTTTTGGTGCACCTTGCTTCTAGGGTTCTTAGCAGGACGATTTTGAGCTTGAGCTTTACAGTGAATCTCAATCTCTCACCGTATATGGTTTCCGGCTTCGTTTGATTAATCTCAACAATCGTATCTCACCTCATCACAAACATCTTGCATTTTCGTTCTAACTCTTTTTTGAGTTGCTGTTCAGAATTTATCTGATTAGTGATCAAGGTTATACAATTCAAATGGCATTGGGAGATTTGACGATTTCTCAGTTATCAGCTGTTGTGGAGGAGTCTGAAGATTATGAAGACGGCGACCGAAACAATGATGGTAGCTTTGATGTTGTTGCTGCTGAAAATGAGATGAAGACGACGACAGAGACAAGTATGAATGATGTACGGCCATTTGTGTGGTTTCGTGAGCTTCGTCCTGATGAGTTTGAGGCGTATGTCCCTCCTTCACCGGCTAATACTGATTTGGTCTCTAAGTGGCGGAATAAGAACCGGGTAAGATGTGCCTCCTTATACATTTGTTTTTATTGCAATTCTTAATTTGGAAGCACATTTTGAATGAACTAGTTTCAATTGTCACCTAAATCTATCAACAATGCATCAATAACAAATTGATTGGAATCAGCCATAGGAATCTTTAATTCTCATTCTACTTAAATTCAGTAATAATACTGTTCTAATTTGTGCTTTCATTTGTTTTCCCCTATATGATTGAAATAGTTTCAAATTCTGTTATCTTTACCGAAGGTTATTAGTTTCTTCTTAGGATTTTCTTGGATATTAGTTTAGTGTAACCTTCATTTGTTCAAGGTGAAGAAATATATATGGGAGGATGATGCTCATCTGAGCACAAGGTTAAATTTTCTACTTGTCTGTCAAAATAAACATGAAAACTCCACAACGCTAACATTGGTAACAAGCTGTTAAAGTTCCCATCAAACCATTAGTTTCTTTGATTTGTATTTGACAATATTTTTTTAATATGAGTCAGCCATGATGTACTATGTAAGGTGATATAATTTTTTCCCAATGTGAATACTTCAAACATGTGTCTACCGTCTAGTGTCTTTGTTGGATATGGCCGTGAAAGATTCAATCTCTAAGTTGCATGAAGGCATGAGCATCTAAACCAGCGGCATGGTGGCACAGGCATGCAACCTAATTTAGAAGTTGTGATGTACAACATGATTGTTGGCATTAAATTAATGTTTTCTTAATCAGGAAAAGCCTTTACGTGGGTATGAATCAAATAAAAAAGTGAATCCAGATCCTTCTCCACGTTCTAAGTATTTCCATGAATACATTTTCTTCTCCTTTGAGCAGGTGGGATAAGAATTGTATAAACTCGCGAAAGCGAGGAGAGAAAGGCTATGAAAAGGTTATTTGGATGTGCACAAAGTGTTGTTGTAATTATAGCTGAGCAAAAACCCCCAAAGAAAAGCTCTTTTACAGTATTGATTCTGCTTCATTAACAAATTCTTCTTTTTTCCAAAAAAGAAAGCAAAATTCTGCAGTTAAACTTAATCTCTTGAATTGAGTTATTTCCTGCTATTTCAAAAATTTGTGCAAAAAGTTAATCTGTCACCTTGCAATGAATGAAAATGTTATTCATTGTCTCAAAATTCTCTCCACATAGCTGACACCAGTTGCAGAATTAAATTCCCCTTCTCTAGAGGATTTTTCATGTGTCAAACATGCATTTTTTGCTACCAGCCATACAGAAACATTCCACTTTGAATGGTGCTTTAGTATTCCATATCTGAGTCCAGGCCGAAGAACATGCTGGGAGCCTTGTACAGGTGAAAATTTGTATTAAGAGTTCCAGACAGGACACCTTTTCCAATTTCCCATGTATTAAGGTTACTTCTTAATGTGCAGTTCCAATCACCTTCTTCTTTGTAGCTTGCTCTTGTGGAATTAGGATGACTGGTTAATTTGTACAAGTCAGGAAATTGGTCTTTCAGAGGGAAGTGACCAATTCAAATGTGAGTCCAAATAGCTAGCTTCCAATCACTGCTCACTTTGATATTCTCAATAAGGCAACAACCCTTTCAATTTCCCTGTCATTAAGATTCCTTCTAAATGTGAAGTTCCAAGTACCTTCTCCTTTGTAGCTAGCTATTGTGGAATTAGGATAATTGGTTAATTTGGGCAAGTCAGGGAATTTGTCTTTTAGAGGGAAGTGACCAATTCAATTATGATTCCGAAAAAAGCTAGCTTCCAATAATTTTTTTTGGGTAACTAAAAACTTTATTTATCACCAGGAAAGAATTACAAAGCAGCTAAGTCAACTCAACTAGCTATTCTAGAAAATGAACCTAACTATAAACCAATTTCTACTGATTTGGAGATTAGATCATAGGGAGTTATCTCCGTATCCAGTTGGGCCTTGACCTTATACATCTGTAGTCATTACAAAAAAAAGTATGGACTAATGTCTGAAGTCTTGGAACACAGGTGAGCCACTTCCCGGACAATGACCGCGACATCTGCCCTTTATCCTTCAAAAATCCTTTGATTTCTTTCAAGCGAAATAAAGTGACATGTTTCTGCAAACACTATCTTGAACACCTGGGCTATCTGAGATTTCCCCTTCCCATTTGCAATTCCCCAGTCAACCATTTGCGACCATGTGGTAGCAGGACATTCATCCTTGTGCATCCATTTCAATATGGCATCTCATACCTTTCTAGTGTATTCACATTCTACAAACAGATGGTCCCTATCTCCGGGTGGGTAGCACAAAGTGAGCAGTTGGGGCTAACATCAATGCCCCATTTAATCAATCTATTAGACGTGAGAAGCTTTCCATGGAGAGTGAGCCACCTTGTGAAAGTTGCCTTAGGTCTGGTGTATTTCAAAACATTAAAGCTTTCCAAGGAACTTCCAATCATTACTCACTTTGAAAGTGATATTCTCAATTGAAGTGTTCTGATGCTTTTCTTACTGCTACTACAAATGGTGTAGAATGTAGATACACTTTTAGTATACCAAAGATAGTCAGCTACCAGTTATGTCCATATTCTTTGTTGTTTTGTATGTTCACCAGGCAATCTGACTAACCATACTTGCCTTTTCACAAGAATTGAGCAGAAAGGGTTTGCAAAATAATGATAACATATGGAACACTATTCCTTTTGCTATACTGTGGATTTTTTGGTTCGGAAAAAATTATAGAATTTTGTGAGGAGGCAAAAAGGAAAATATATTTAGCCTGAAACATTAGGCATATTCTATCATCTTGGCGCAGCTAGTTATTTATAAATGATGTAAATGTTATCTTAAACATGCTTACCAGTAGAAACCGGATTCTAAATAGATGCTCCATGAGCCAAAACTGTGCCTAAATGAACAACCACCTAATATTACATTATGCAGTAGGATTATTGAAGAGAAAGAGAAGCTCTGAGTTTTTGATCTGAGAAACACTAAGATCTCTCTCTTTTGCTCTTCTAGGAGTATTGAAGAAAAAGGGAAGCTCTTATATACTGGACCTATATTGTATGTGGAAGCAGAGTAATAAATGTGATAAACACTTGAGATTCCATTTTTGATGGGTAAATAATATATTGTATAAAATATTTGCACTATAAGCCAGTGCAATCACAATTTGTGCAAATCAGCTATTCCGTCTAAAATATCATCTACATCTGGTACAAAAACTACTTTGCACCAAAAAACGGTCGACAAAATCTATCTAAGTTTAATGTGCTGTATGTTTCTTCTTTTGCCTTTAAAGATTCTTCTATCTTTACCAAGCTAAATAGGCCACCAGATAACTTGAGGAACAGTGCTCCAGGTCTTTTGAGCTTTCCTGCAAATTTTTTCCCTGTACAGCACTTCAGGATTTCTATAATGAAGTTAGGCATGGTCCAAGACATACCAAAAATTGACAAGAACATGTTCCATAACTGATTTGTAACCCTGCAATGCAAAACAAGGCGGGTAACTTCTTCAAGATTGTTCTTCACATAATGGACATCTACTGTACAACTGAAAACCCCTGGGAGATTGTTTTGTGCGAGGCATGCCTCCCTATCCACAATCCAGAAGAAGCAAGAGACATTTGTAGATGCCTTGTAGTACCATATTTTTTTCTAAGGCCAACACTCACATTGTTGCTAAAATCCAGCATACTTCAACAACTTCTAACTGAGAAGATACCCCTGGAGTGACCCCTCCAACTGATAGAGTCTATTTTGTTGACGTTCAACTGCTACACTATGTCGCTTAGCATTTGTAGCAAGATATACATCGTCTTCATTCCCCATCATTAATATTCCTTCTAAGATTCAAATTCCAGTCTTGCGATGTGCATAAATCTGCAATTGTCCCACTATGACACATTGTAGATTATCTGGGAATTTTGTTTTCCACTTGTTATTATTTACATCTAGAAATAAACTTTGTGAAAAAAGTCAAAGGTTTTACTAGGACTTCTAATCTAAATAGAGCTTGGTGAAACCAGAAGAAGGGCTATTATGAAGTACAAACTGTTGTCAGCTTCTCTTATATTTCTGAATGTATTAATGACTGTTTGTGTTATGGCATTAGAACTTTTCTGCTCTTTCTTGATTATTGCTAAATTGGGCTTACTCAATTATGTGCTGTGCATACTTTAACCTTGTGATGCTTTTGCTGTTATTCTCTTCAACAACTCAACTTACCATTTAAGTGAAAGTAATTTTAAGATGGAATCATTTTCTTCTTTGCAAAAAAAAAAAGTTGTTTAGAGCTTCTTTATTCAGGCAACAAAAAAGTTATCTAAAGCTGTTCTTGCTGCCAACAGTCTTGCCCAAGTCTAAAGATAAAATTTGGATTTGTTAAATGCTTGATTCGATTTGCTTTATACCTGTTGCTTGTTACTTTATGCGTTACTTTATTACCAAGATATGCCTGAGAGCCCGTGGGCTGTGGCACATGGTTCAGAACTCGGTGGATAATGGGCTTGCCACTCCATTTTCTGCACTTGTTGCTTGTTACTAATGTACAAAGAGAAAATCATATATATATATATGTAGTACTTGCTGACCTTTTGTTTCAATCTTAATAGTGAGCTAGCTGATATCTTACAGTGTTCGGGCTAAGTTCTCATACAAAAACAAATGTTTGATATCTTTACCATCTAAACTTGCAAAACTTATTGCAGATGAAGACGGGATGTGTTGCCCTTGTTCTGTGTTTGAACATCGGCGTTCCTCCACCAGATGTAATAAGGGTATCTCCTTGTGCTCGGATGCAGTGTTGGATTGGTATGCTAAACTTTCCTTCTTCTGCAAAAAACAAGTGTTTCTTCTTTTTGCTAATATTTTAGACAAGGTAAATATTTTATTTGACGTGATGAGATAATCTTCAGTATACAAGGGGCATACAAAAAGTAAATAGGTTTCAAAGATAAGATTCACTGCAAAGAACATTGAAGCATCTATCCTAACTGGGACCTCATTGGTGCTCTAAAAATTGACTAGACCCAGAAGACAACAGAACTATTTGTACTAAAGTACTATCCACCTTTCAAAAGTTTCATGTTTCTTTACCTTCTCAAAAAAAAGTTTCATGTTTCTTTGTCTCTATACAACCCACTTAAGGGACAAAAGGGTTACTTCCCAAGCTCTACACCTCATTTTTTTTCATTTAGAGGTCCAGTTGTATAACTTATCCTTGATTGTGGTTTGTGTCGTCCACTATCTGCTCAACAAAATTAACACAGTTAGCCATAATTGGCTATCAATCTGACAGTGTAACAGTAAGTGATCAATCTCTTGAGCATTTGCAAATGTAGCACCAACTGACCTATATAGTCCATTCTTCCTTTAGTTTTTTGTTGTGAGCATGATCTCCCTTACTGCTAACCAAGTGAAAAGTACATCTTGTGACCTTTCTACACGACATCTTTGGTTGATGGTTTTCACTAGTGCCCTCTTCTAATTTCAAGTATTTGGTTGTCAAGTGTGGTATTCTGCTTATAAGGTAGGGCCAATAGATTTTGGAAGTTAAGTCACCAATCTCGTGGTTTGAAAAGGTTTCTTGATGTTCTACGCACATATTTATGTGTCTGTTCCAGTTACAAGGAAGATGGAGAGAAGGTTGGACAAGTTTAAGGTGGACCTTTATTTTTATAGAAAGTGAAAATTTAAAAGAACATATCAGTTGGTGAGTTGGAAATTTATAATGACAGAAAAGAAACAGGGTGATATCAAAATTAGGAGCCAGAATCTATCCAATAAAAGCCTGTTATTCAAACAGCTATGGAGTTATCTTTGGATAAAAGGCTATATGAACAAGCGTAATCAGCTCCCAGCACTCTTTTCAAGGCTAGACCTTTCTAGCCGTCTCTTCAATACAACAACTTCCTCGGGGAGATCTTCTGGCAACTCACTCTCTCTGCAATGGAGGAGGACAGGATTTATTACAATGCAGGTTTCAAATCCTATGACATTACTAGAATTAAATCAGGTACCAAAACTTGGTAGCATGGGCAGAATGCAGCAGATTTTTAATGAGGAAATTATGATTAGTCTTACAGTTATGAGATGGCATCTGTATATATTGATGCAACAAAAGGGCAACGAAAGATGGCCAAGAGACTGAACATGAAGGATCATTTCTCAGACTTCTTTTGCACTCTTAAATACAATGAGAATGGTACGTACATCAACTTATTTCCATTCAATGGGAAAACAAATATGTCACTATTACACCAGAAACCACATTAAAGGGAGGATGGCAGATGCATTATAGGAGGTAGATGTTGTCAGCTTCAAGCAATTTGGATCCTTCTTCAAAGAAGCCTTCAAGAGAAACAGAAGTCACAAAAGCCTCATAGATCCAGACCACTACCAACAAAATCTGCATCAATGGAGGCTCAACTATCTCTTAAAAGGAGCTATAGGGCAGATGCATTATAGGAGAATTTCATGAACAGTCACAGTAAATCCCAACTTTGAATGATGTTCGTAAATGGCATGTAGCACTTGGAAGACAGTGTTTGGAGTCCATGAGTGATGGCAATTTCTCTTCGAACTTTCATCTAGGAAGGTGGCTGAACATGTGTTATCTGCCGAATGGGTATGGAAGAAACACAAGGCACAACTCCGATGGTGGAGCCAAACAACATATGCTAGTCGGAAGAAGGAATTGTGTCTGGATAAGACTACCAGGTTCCCTTGAACCTCTAGTCTCGGAAAAGCTTCAAGATGGTTGGTGACCGTTGTGGAGGCTACATAAAGAAAGGAGGAAATGTCACTGAGAAGTCACTTGTACATCGCACGTATGAAAGCGAGAGGTGATGGTAAGAAAGATGTTCCATTGGTATTAGTGATAGAAAGCGACTGCTATATAATTTCTGATATGAAATGAAGGAACCACAGGATGAAAGGAGTGATAAACCCTATTTAACTGTGAAATAGGTCTGACACCAGCACAATATATGACTGAGCACGCAGGTACATCAAAAGAAAGGGATTTTAAGATCTTAGGACACATGAAACTAGATTGTTCGAGAAGGGCCCACAAGTACAACGGCTGGGTCTTCTAATTCAGAAGAAACATTTGGGCTGAAGGATAGGCCTAAGAACTCCAGACCCGGTTGTTAATACTCAACTAATTACTACCAAGTCCAATGAGGCCGAATTTATGGACAACTTTAAGATCGAAATACATGCAAACTCAGTCAAAAAATCAATTCAAAACAGAATCGACAGTTTCAACGAATTAACTCAAAACAGAAACGAAGAAACTACAATCAAGGAGATGGGAAATTTTTGCAACAATAGAAAGATTTGAAATTGCAGAAAGTAATTCTCAGATTGATCAACAAAACCTGGGAAATTATATTGCAGAAAAAGCAACGACTTGGGAGCCAATAGGTTCTTAAGACGCGCATGTTAACGAGAAGGTGGATGAGATGAACTATCAGTAGAATATATCACTCAATTGGAGGTGCAATTCCCAATAAAGATGTTGACCCAGTTTTCAACACTCTAATTTGGATACACCAGCACATTCTTAAACTTAGTAAAGAATTTGGGGCAGAGTTTTAAGGGTGGGGCTCTGGTATTTCATGAAAATTGATGGAAAAAAGCAGGAGAACATTGCCAGGCAACAACAACAACAAATGCAGACAAATGTTGAAAAGAAGTGGAACACTGAACTGCTAAATGTGGATTGCTTTAGAGACAAAGTGCATGACTGGTGGGTGGAGGTTCCTTTATTGTGGTGGTAGCTATCTACAAAATTCTCCTTTAAAAGAGACTCAAGGAGTGGAATATGGATAACAAGAGTAATTGGAGGGCTAGAAAAAAAATCAGATTATGGAGAAACAAAGTAGTTTGGAAGCCACTCAAGAACTCAGACCTCTAACAAACGATGAGCAGTTGATGACAACCAGTTAACAAAGGATTATGAGGAAGTGACAAAGAATGAAGAAATACACCGGAGACAGAGATCCAAGATTCAATGGATCAAGTGTGGTGATAAGAACACCAAGTTCTTTCATAGAATTAACTACAACTCACAAAAGGATTAATACCATTAATCCCCTGGAGATTATGAAGTTATGATTACTGATCTTTTGGCTATCAAAAAGCTCAATTGTTCATCTCTATCAAGATTTGTATAAAGAACCTGAAGGATGGAGGCCATCTTTGAACATAATGGATGTTCAGAAACTCACAAGCAATGAACATTAACGGTTAACAAAGGGCTTAGAAGAGGATGAGTTTTGGGCAGGGATTAAATTACGTGCTATTGACAAAGCACCTTGTCTAGATGGCTATACTATGACATTTTTTCATGCTTTCTGGGAATTGGTTAAAGAGGATTTGATGCTGACCTTTCATAATTTCATTCCCACCAAATGTTTGAGAAAAATTAAATGTCATCTTGGTAGCCTTGATTCCAAAGAAGATGGGGGCAAGTGATTTGAGGGACTTCAAACCAATAAGTGTAATTACTGGAGTCTACAAAATTATTGACAAGGTGCTAGTAGAGAGGGTGGAGGAAGTGATAAAAAAATTGGTTAATAAGCATCAAATGGATTTTATCAAAGGAAAGGTAGATCATGGATGCTCTTATAGCACTTGAATGCATCTATACCAGAATTAAAGGTGGAGTGCTAGGGGTGATATGTAAGTTAGATATTGAAAAAGTTTATGATCACCCCAATTGGGATTTTCTGAGCAACACCCTCAGATGGGCTTCAGATGAGAATGGGTAGAGGGATAACTTTTTGTACTAAAAAGTAAAAACACTAGGTTCTCCATTCTTATAATGGAGAATCAATTGCGTTTTTCCCGGCAAAAGGGTTCAGGACAAGGGGATCCACCCCCTTCTTGTTCATTATTTCTATGGAGGGTTTTGCCTATACTAATAATTGGATAAGGGGATTTTTATTCAAAAAAGGACAGAGGAGATTATGGAGCTGACTCATCTACAATACGCTGATGATACAATAGTTTTTATGTAAAGCAGAACGGGAGCAAATCTGGCACTTTAGGCTGATCCTAGTTATCTTTGAAGCATGCTCAGGCCTTAAAGTAAACAGGAGGAAGAGTAGCATTTTCCCAATTAAGGAGGTTTGCTGATTGAGTCCCTAGCAAGCATTCTCAAGCGTAAGGTGGAAGAGGTATCAACATTCTACCTTGTCAAGCCCGGGTGGGGTGGGGGGTGGGGGTCCAAACATAAACTGAGAAAAAATTAGCATATTGGAAGTTTCAATACTTATCTCTGTGAGGGAGAGTGAAGGGATTGAATTTGGTGAAATGGATGATAGTTCAGTTGAGCAAAAAGAATGGGGGATTGAGAATCAGAAACCTTAAGCTACAAATCAAGTGTTTGCTGTTCAAATGGCGATGCGATATGTTCATGGGAATCAGACTCTATGCAGAGAGATAACTCAATATAAATATGGGCAAGAAGATCATTGTTGCACAAATGAAGTGACCTCCTCTTATGTAGTTGGGGTTTGGAGAACTATCAGAGATTACTGGAGAGACCTAAAATGCCACACTATGATTTTATGTGGGTTGGGGGGGGGGGGATAAGGCAAAGTTCTGGATAGACAAAATGGTGTGACCAAGGGTTGTATGAGAAGTTAGTCAACTAGAACAAGGTTCTTTTTGTGCGTGTGTGTGTGGGTGGGGTGGGGGGGACATGGGGTCTAGGAGTAAGGAATTTGATAAATCAGTGCAAAAGCCCTTAGACTAAAGTGGTTATGGAGGTATTCTGAAGAGCCTCAACCATACCGGTGAAAAGTAATTCAAGCAAAATATGGAGAGGAGAACAAGTGGATGACAAAGGAGGTCCTTACACTATATGGGGTAAGCCTATGGAAGTACATTAGAATCATGTGGCTTCTCTTGAAGATCAGTACGACCATCAGGGTAGGAAATAACATCAAGATTTCATTTTGGGAGGATAAATGGTTAGACAATTTCAGCTTGAAAAGTATCCTCACTCCTAGGTCTACCACTCCTTTGCTTTACTGTTCAGAATCTTCAAAACAACCTAATGTAGAACTTTCCCCGTAAGATCTTGTTCAACTGTTTTTTTAGTAGAGCGCCCTTTTGGGGGGTGGGGGTGTTGAATAGCTTTCCAGTGCTCTCTTTTCACAGCACTTCCGATAAGTATCAGATTACTTGAATAAAAAAGAAAACAATTCGGAAGCAAAAATACAAAGATTAAAGATAGGAGGAATTGAAAGATGTGTTAAATTCGATAATAAAATCCCCAAATTTCAAGATAAACTGCTAAGAACTCTAATTAGTCTTAGTATTTAAAAGTAGTAGATAAAATTTAATTATGATCAACAACAACAACATACCCAGTGAATACTTATTATGATACTAATCGAGTCAAGTCAAGAACTTAAACCAAAAGTGATCTTGTCCCCTACTTCTGAAAAATTAGAGACAACAGTGAGTGCAAGACTAATTACCTTCTTTAATTTACTTAATAGAAACCAAAGATATCAAGTTAAGAATTAATATTATCTCTTAAAAATCATTCTTATAAGGTTGTAAGATAAATCCATAGTCACCATATACAAAGGTGTAAAGAAGAGAAGCCTCTTAAATAATATTAATGATGAAACCTATCTCAAATAGCATGGAATTCAAATCCTACTTTTATGGAAATAATAGCTAGGGAACTTTTAACAGATGGGTAATTCTCCCATTTCTTTCCTTTTGTTTCTGAAGATTCTCTTCTCTTTTTGAGTCATTGCTTGCACTTTTACTTACCTTTAGAATTTCTTTTTAATATATGGTTTCCAGTGACAGTCATATACTCAATTCCTCTCTGCGAATTCACCCCCTCATTTGTTCTTTCATGATTCTATCATCCAATTTATGTACAATATCATGACCTTCTTATGTGAATTATCTCCTGCGCCGTAAGAGTCCTCACCCCCTAGTTTTTGCCCTTCCTTTTGTAAATAATAACCTTAACACCTTCTTCAGAGCTCTCAGATAGCATTTGTTGAAGGTTCTGTGCCATACTTGTGCAGTAGCTTATCTTTGGGAACCTTTAAATATTGTGGAGTTTTGTATACTTGTTGCGTATGTTATCACTTCAGCATTGACAATGCAGGAGAATAGTTGATGATATTACATCTTGGCTTACTCGGTTGTTTACTTGAATATATTTCGGTATCAGCTATCCCAGCTTTCATATTCTCTTGAGGATATTGGATGAATTTGGTTAAGACTTTACCTGGTTGTTGTAATCAGCAATTTTCAAATTTCTGTCAACCAGCAATCACTTTGATACTTGCGCTATTTTTCTCTATATCAGATCCATATTCTATGCCACCTCAAAGAGCCCTTGAAACAATTGGGAGAACATTGTTTGAACAGTATGAGAAGTGGCAACCCAAGGTAAAAAAGTGTTTTTGTGATAATAGATATTATGCGTGGACAAGGTCTAGGCTGTATTTTGTAAGGTAATCAGTAATTTAATTAAAATGACCTAAATATCTTACTATATGTAGGCACGCTACAGGATCTCCTTGGATCCTATTGTTGATGAAGTTAAGAAACTTTGCACAACATGTCGAAATTACGCCAAGTCAGAGCGAGTTCTTTTCCATTACAATGGATACGGTGTACAAAAACCATCAGTCAATAATGAAATTTGGCTATTCAATAAGGTTTTCTTTCTTACTCAAATTGCTTTCACAGAGCATTTGTGATATCTATTTTTTTTTAATTAGACATTTGTTTAGAGTAATATGCAGTATATCCCGTTGCCGATCAGTGACCTGGACTCTTGGTTGAAGACACCTTCAATCTATGTGTTTGACTGCTCAGCTGCTGGGGTGATCGTTAATGCCTTTATAGAGGTGCATATTTTAATAATGCAGTACATGCTTAATGATGAGGTGATCTACCTATCTGCTAAGCTCATTCTCTAATCAAAGCCATTTGCTTAATGCAGCTCCAAAACTTGGCTGCCTCTAATTCCTCTGGACCTTCTACAAGAGATTGTATTCTGCTCGGTGCCTGTGAAGCACATGAGACTCTTCCTCAGAGTGCTGAGTATCCTGCTGACATTTTCACTTCCTGCCTCACAACGCCAATCAAAATGGCATTGAGATGGTGACTTACTCTTAGAAAAAGTTGTTTATCCTTTCTGTTTTTCTTCATGCTTTCTGCTAAACCTGTCCAATTCTGCAATGGGGTGAACTAGCAGCAATACTTTATTTGGGCAACTTGAAATAGCATTTCAGTGGGTTTGGTCCCCGACTGATGGATAATATTATTTTTTCTCTCTATGGTATTCCATAGTTTATCTTAAGTGTCATGTCTATTTGCATATACTAACCATCTAGATGGAAAGTTAGAATAGCTTTCTCACCAAAAGAATATTTGAAACAGGACAAGTCCCTTTGATACCCCAAAGTTGTATAGCACCTCTAATTTTAGAAACCACATGGGTGTTGTCTATTATGACAACCTTTGCTATAGGATTAATATATTTTCTTAGGGAATTGCCACTTAGTATGTCCGAGTGCACTCCTAGTTATTTGTGCTTAACTCAAGTGTGATGTTGTCAGAATTCTTAGATAAATGGCCTATCTTTATTCATAAGAATCTATGTTGTCAGAATTCTTAGATAAATAGCCTATCTTTATTCACAAGAATCTTTTCTATTCTTTATTCTTTTCCTTTTTAACTTTTCAGTCAAATTTGTTATAACTAGTTTTCTTTGTTTGTATCTTCTTGTTTGGCTGTTAGGCTTTGCACGCGATCATTATTTTGTGAGTCATTTGATTATGCTCTGATAGATAGAATTCCTGGCCGCCAAACAGATCGAAAGACACCTCTTGGTGAATTGAATTGGATTTTCACTGCAGTAACTGATTCAATTGCCTGGAATGTTCTACCACGCGGTAATGTGATAGAGTAGTTATATTGATGCAGTTATCCTAGTTCCTTTTTCGGCGTTTTAAGCTCTTCCTAATCTGTAAGTTTCAAAGCCGCAGATCTATTTCAGAGATTGTTCAGGCAAGACCTATTAGTTGCTAGTTTGTTCAGAAATTTTTTACTTGCTGAAAGAATCATGCGCTCTGCAAATTGTTCTCCAATTTCATACCCAATGCTACCACCTACTCATCAGCATCACATGTGGTAACTACATGAAACACTCAAGCTATGCAAGTTCATGCTTTACTTTCTCCTCATTTGGGGCCTGTACTAATTCCACAGGGATGCGTGGGACATGGAAGCAGAAATCTGCCTTTTGCAGCTTCCAACTTTGCTTGCTGATCCAAGTGTTGAATTTCAGGTGGGATAATGAGTTATTGTCCCTTTGATTTTATATATTTAGTTCCTAAAAGTTGGTCTGTTTTCTGAAAAACATGATCCATGTATTTTTCTCAAGATTAATGTTTTCCCATCTTTTGATTTCTTCAGCCTAGCTCATTCTTCACCGACCAATTGACAGCTTTTGAGCTTTGGCTTGACTTTGGATCAGAGAATAAAAAACCACCAGTGCAGTTGCCGGTTGTGCTACAGGTAAGAAATATTATGGTTCTAATCAAATGAAAGGCCATTCTTGGTTCTGCTTGCCATGAAATGGTCGATTTAAATAATGCACGTTTCCTCGTTCCCACACTATTGTCAATTTCTGTTTCTTAATATGATGAAAAGGTGAAAAGGAAACATTTGGTTGTTAGCATTTATTGTTCCTTTATGAAGCTTCAGTTATTGATAGTTAGCTGCATTTGCTTAAATTTGTTTAGATAGGAGTAAAATTGTCTATTTATATCTACTGTACTTAGCTGTACTCAAGTCAAGAGTCCTCCCAAAACAGCCTCTCAACCTCTACGAGGTAGAGGTAAGGTCTGTGTACATTCTATCCTCCACAGACTCACTTGTTGGATTCCACTGGGTATGCTGTTGTATATCATGCTAAATTTTGAACAATAGAATGTTCTCAGAAATAAAAGAGAAAATAACCAGAAAGTCATGTCATAATGTGAGGAGTGGTTAAACTCTCCTCTTATAAATTACTTAATAGGCCATCAAAGATTTGGTACTCCTCTCAGCACAATTGGGTCTTCATCTGCTTCATATTTTCCGTACTTATTATTTTGCTCAAGTAATCTTGCGATCTATGGAAGATTAGAGTACATTTTTGTCAATTCTAGTGTGACTCATATCCTTACCATTGCAGAAGCATATTACCACAAGGCTGATTGAAGTTTCTAACGGAAAATCAGCAGAACCATTGGTTTAAGTAATGCTAGTCCTCAGTCAAGACAATCATCTTAGTTTTTTTGTAGGGGTTGCTTGAAAAGTAGTTGGTACTGTTCGTCGTGTGAGCGCATTTCTTTATTTGAATTGTGAAGTATGGCTAGATTTAATTAGTGTTTTACCTAACCAAAAGAAAAAACAGATTTACTTTGTGTTTATCTGCTCGACTCAACACAGAAGGATACAGAAATCGAAAAACCATAGTTTTCCTAAGATACAGGCTGATTGCTAATTGTCTTTCTAATATTTTTCCTATATATCAGGTTTTCTTCACTCTCGAGGGCTTTGTTGTTTTGGTGCATTTTTCTCTTTGTATGGGATGGTAACCAGGTTATTCTTTGTTACTAGGTGTTACTTAGTCATTCCCACCGGTTTCGAGCACTGGTGCTTCTCGGAAGATTTCTTGATATGGGACCTTGGGCTGTAGATCTGGTACTTATTGGTGGTGCATTTCAAGCTTCTTGTTAATTAGGCTGGCTGCCTCTAATTTTATGCGTCCAATTTTTAAGAAATTCTTAAGTCAACAAATTTATTTCCAGGCCTTGTCTGTTGGAATATTTCCCTATGTTCTAAAGCTTTTGCAAACCACAACTCCTAAGCTTAGGCAAATTCTTGTCTTCATTTGGACGAAGATCCTTGCCCTTGATAAGGTACGTGAATTGGTTTGTCTATCACCTGTAATTTTCTCATTTTAAATTCTCATGTTTCAGTTTTATCTATATTTATTTCTCATATAGATTTTGTGCGATCTCTTTCTAAACCGATGTTTCATCAGTGAATAACAATAGACATGGAAAAAAAATTGAATATGAGAAAAGTTGTGTGCTTCACCTGGATTGCATTGCACTAGGCATGGTTATATCTAATAAACTTTGGGGCCCTGCATGTGGAGTTTATGCTTTTTTGTGCAACATCAGAACAACTGTTCCTGCAGTTGGCCATGTCTTGGCAGATCTGGGATTCTTCACTATCCCATTTGGTAACTGGGTGAAAATTTCTTAATGTGGTCTGTAGCTGAAAGTTTAGGATAAAGAAACAGCATAAGGCTTATATGAAATGCGCTGTGTGTTTAGTATGGGAATATTTGGAAATAAGTAAATATTAGATGTTGTGATGGTTCGATCTTTCCACAATTATAAGAACTACGTCTCAGTTGTAAATTAGTTGGGTCTGGTCATATGGATTCTCAATATTCATTCCACTGCATTAGATCCATTTCATTAAGATACTCAATGGCTTAACTCTTGTGGACCAGGCCATGTAAGCGTGCCAAAACGACCGGTTAAGAAATGAATTTTTGGCCTAACTCAACCTCAAAAGGCAAAAGCTAGCTAATGAGGTGAGCATTGCTCCAAAAACCATACAAGGAGACAAACAACCTATCCTTTAACCAATTTTTAACACTTCAAACCCCATCCCCAGCCAAACCTATCAACTAGAGCGTAGACAACCTAATATTGGGGGCCAGTAATATGACATACAGTAACAAAGATGGGTTCAGCTTTGATACTTGTTAAGAAATAGATTTAGGACCTAAATCAACTGTAGAAGCTAGCTCATGAGGCCCGAAGAACATATGAGGCGACAAACAATTTATCCCTCCACCAATGCGGGATACTTAACTTGGCTAAACCTTAATATTAACTCGTCAGTATTATCTGTTTGTATCTTTTTTTTAACTAGTTCATTCTATTCTTCTCCAAATTCATAATCATTTCGAGAGATTGTAGGTCTTTTCGGCTACCTTTCTATTATGTTATTAGGTCTACCATTCTTTTTATTTTTTGAAATAGGCAACTTTGCATTCACACAAAATACTCATCAGGAAACTGATGAGAATGAATTAACAAACCCTAGGGGGTGCCATCATAATCAATATCCAAAACAAACTTCAAAATTTATAGTTGGGCTATAAACTTCACTAAACTATCTAGTTCTCCCACTAAATTCTCTGCTTACACCCCCCCCCCCCCCCCCCCCCCCCAAAAAAAAAAAGACTTAAGACATCGTATCTTGGTTTTCTCTGTGTAGCTAACCTTCTTGTCATAACATCTCTCATTCCTTTCCTTCCATAGTGTCTGCCAAATGCAAGCAGTGATGTTCTTCCACCAATCTTCCTTTGATCCTCTTTCTCCAATTTCTTGCTGTGTCAGTACCTCAGAAGTGGTTCTAGGCATTGTCCAATTTACCCTAACTACACAAAAGAACATGTTCCACAGATCTGTAGATGTATAGCAATGTAGAAATAGGTGGCCATTTACTTCAGCCTCTTGTCCACACATATAACACCTTGAAGGCTTGAACAGATCTGTACACCTCTTCTTTGTTGCACTTCATGGGTTAGGTATGCTCTTTTAATTACCAACCAAGTGAAACATACAACTTTTAAAGGAATCTTTATGTTCCAGATTAATTTCCAAGGCTAAGCTGTTGTCAAAGAATGATTTCTATTCCTCTCCAACTCCTCGACCATGTAATTTCCAAACTGGTTTTCGGGCTCTGTGGTGATGCCTGGAAACTACGTCATTAGAGCCCTTCCGAACATAAGATCCCTGCCCCGAGGGTTCTAAATATGTGCATATAGTGGTATCTGTTTTTTTTTTGAGAAGGTAACAACTTGTATTCTATTCCAAAAGAAAAAACCAGAACCTGCCACAACAAGTTACAGGTTCCTAATTACAATTGTGGAGAGTACCAGGAAGATCTTTAATCCTATAGCAAAATTTACAAGGAATCTAGAACATCTTTGACTGATTCTAGATCTACCATGTACTCCTGTTTACACCAAAAAAGAAACAAAACTAAGCAGTTCATCTTAATCTTCTGGATGGAATTGCTCTTGTTTTGGAAGCATCTGAGGTTTCTTTCTTTCCACACTGACCACCAGATGCAAGCCGGATGATTTTCCATCTTTCTTTATGCCTGGTAATGCTTGCATAACTGCTCCATAACTTCAGAGCAGTGTTCAGGGAAGCGTGAAGCGGAAAATAGCGATAAGGCCTCGCTCTACGCTTTAAGCGATGAAGAACTCACATAATCACTCTGGAGTGTGAAGCGTAGAAGGCTCGCATTGCATCGCTTCGCTTCATTGCTTTAAGCGATGAAGCACTCGCTTTCCTGAACACTGATTCAGAGTTTGTGTAACTTTCCTAGGCATAACCCATTTCATGTCCTTCTGATTGATAAAGATATTCCACAAAATGTTGGTTATTCTACAGTGAAGGAAGAGATGGTTGACAGTCTCTACCTTTTCTTCACCACATAGTAGGCACCTAGGACTCAGCTGAATATTTCTTTTCATAAGATTTTCCTGGGTCAAAACTGCCTGCTTAGCAAGGAGCCAAGTAAAACAAGACACTTTGGTAGGGGATTTTAGTTTTCCATATCAACTTCCATGGCCACCCATTCCTCTGACTGTTACAAGGATTAAATTTTTTGTACGCTCTTCTGACACTGTAATTATCCCGGTTGTGATCCTGCCATCCCAAACTATCTTGTGCATCAATGTTCCTTTGAACTGCCCCAAGACCTTGTAAAACTCCACCAACCTTTGGATCTCCCAGTCATTTAGAGGTCTTCTAAAACTCAGATTCCACCCTTGGTTTGACCACATCTCTTCTACAGCGCCCTTTGCCGCTTGTTTAGGGTGAAAAAACCCGGGAACAAGGTTTTCAAAGATCCTTGTTCTAGCCATCTATCTTTCCCAAAAGAGGTTTTCCTACCATTCCCCAATTTAATACTGCAATTTTCTCTGAGCTTTGGCCAATGGTTTCTGATGGCTCTCCAATGGCTTGATCCGTAAGCGCTAATGTATAAATCAGGAAAAAGTATCCACAGTTTCTAATCCACTATCCAGTTCTCATTCCAGAAACTAGTCTTCAAACCATTTCCCGCTCTAATGGTCACCTTTGCATTGAAAAAGCAATCCACAATCTTCTGATAGTTTTCCATAGAGAGCAACCAAAAGTGCCAGGAACCTCTTCGGTGATCCAGTTGTTCAGTATGCCATATTTCTCAGTGATGAACCTCCTCCATAGTGCCATATCTTTACATCAGAATCTTCACAGGCAATTTTTTAGCTGACTAGTGTTCTGGATACTCAAGTTCTTAATGCCCATACCCCTTGGGTTTTTCTCATTCTTGCCTCTTCCATTTAACCAGGTTGTAGCCATGCTTTTCAATACTTCTTGGGAGGAGGATAAGACTCAGCATATAAGTTGGGAGGGCATCCATAGCTGATTTGATAAGAGTCAGTCTACCTCCTACTTCCTAGGGGATAGATATTGACTCTTCCACCGTGTCAGCTTCCTTTCACTTCTCTCAAGAGTTCACTACATATTTCCAGCTCTTTGTTCTTGGCTCCCAAGGGCATCCCCAAATATTTGGTGGGAAGAGAAACCACTTTACAGCCCAGGTTGTTGACAAGACCTTGCATGTTATCTACTTGATTAACTGCTAATTCATGTGGTCGTTATATGCCTTCAAACACTTGTAAAAATTTGTTATATTCTCCTTGATTTCTTTTGGGTATATAATCTCCTCCCACTAATAATCAGTTTGTAGATAGTGTTGTACCTCCTATGTGTTGTTGCCACTCTTTGGAAGAACTTGATTTATTATTTCCTTGCTTTAGCCACAACACTCTGGACTTTTGTCTCCAGTTGGACTCCTCATTTTTTTGCCAGTTCTTTCAACTCAACTAGAATTGCTGTTTGAATCATCTCATCCTCTATCAGCACTCTATTATTCTGAATCAGATCCAACTCAACCTACACATTCAATAAATTGTTTTTCCTATTGGTGAGTTCCCCAAAGGTTACACAACTCCATTTATTAAATTTCTGCTTTAGCATCTGTAGTTTCATACTGAATTTGTAGTCTGGGCATCCTTCCACACAAATCCATACTGGGACCTGGATTAGATCTTTGAAACCCTCTACCTTAAGCAACCCGTTTTCAAATTTGAAGTATTCACTTGGCTGGTAGTGAAAGAGGCTGCTCTAACACAAGAAAACCTCATGAAAAAGGGCATACAAATGTGTCCAAGATGTTTTTTTTTTGTGAGCAAAAGGCAGAGACAATCAACCATCTGTTTTTACACTGTAAAGTGGTTAGCCAACTATGGAACTTGTTTACTAATTTCAGAGGCATAAGGTGGACTATGCCTAAAAGGGCAGGTCAGGCACTAGTAAGCTGGAACTATGAGGGGAGTGGTAGCATGGACAAAAACAGATGGAAAATTGTCCCAGTAGTGATATGGTGGACCATTTGGAAGGTGAGAAATTCGAGATGTTTTGAAAGTGTTAGCAGTCTCTGCATAGGATTAAAACAAACCGCGTTATCACTTTTTGCTATTGGTGTAGTTTGGAATATATAGATGATCCTGTAGCGATTGTAGACATCTTAGGATCCTTGTAAGATGAAATAGGACCTAGAGATAGATTTTCCTTTTTTGGGGGTTGCTGAGCCTACTCAGTTGTAAGTAGCTCTGTGATGTAAGTTTTTTGGACACCAGTCTTAGTGCTGAAGATTTACACAAAATTTGTTACCTTTGTCAAAAAAAATAAATTGAAGTAAGACTTCCTCTGTTCTCACTCTTTACATTGTAGAATAATAGGGTCGTGATCAGATATAACTCTAAGCATAATTTGTTGTATAATGCTCCTGAAAAGTTCTTCCCACTCCATTGAGTAGACTGTAGAGGAACCTATCCAACCTAGCTATACTGTGGTGGCTAGCTCTTTGAATCAAGTAACACTCCCACCATTAAGATGGGGATCATGTAACTCCATGTCCTCTATCAAGATCGAAAAAGCAACCATTACATTGATTATTCTATTGCATCCTCTCCTTTCTGCCATTGTTCTAACAGTCTTGAAGTCCCCTCAAGTGTCGCAATGACCTCCATATAGCTCCCTAACTGCTACAATTTCTTCCCATCATCCAATTTCTCTGCTCTGGTGTGTGAGCATATACACTAGTGAGAAACCAAGGAAAGGAATCTTGGACAACTTTGAATCTGTATGTGATTGAGAATTGACCTTCCTCCACACAGCTGCCCACCCAAACTTATAAGTCACACATGATTGAAATCCCCCCCCCCCCCCCCCCCCCCACTACTGCCATCAGCTTCAGTTTACCTGCACCTCATCCATCTGCTAGACCACAATTGTTTGGAAATCCCTTCTACATATTTGGTAACTTTGGTCTCTTGTAAGCAGTAAACATCAACTCTCTATTTCAGAAGAGAGCTCTTAACCAGATTCCTTGAAGAAATCTTGTAAATCCCCCTGACATTCCAAGATACAATCTTTACTTTCATTCGTGAGTTAGTGACAGAACTCTCTCTGTTTCTTACGCCATTAACTTCCGCATTCAGATGTGATGTAAATTCTTCAACTCATTCTTGTCAATTCCTTTGTGTCTAGGTGTTGACACTGCACTGTTTGCCCCTTCTTTTCCGTCACTCTTTTATTCATCGAGCCTCATCAATAGTGCATGTGTTTCTTCCTTGGAAACTGCAAACACCACTTCATCTGTTTAGCTAAGTTCCAGAATACAGGAATTCACCCAACTGGATGCTTTGATTTCCCCACCAGTTTGATACCCAGGTTTTTTATGTCTACCGGCTCATTATCATGAATCTGCTGAATCTGTATTTTTCGATTCCCTTTACTTCAGTGAGAATTGGTCCGAATACCTCTTTCATTTTATTTGTCGTCTCTCTGTGGCATAGATTAGCAGAGGGCTCAATGTTTTCTACGATTGTCAATGTTTCCTAGCTGTTTAGGGCTGTAAAAATTGAGTGGCTAGTTTCTTGATACAGTTGGGTTTCGTGCCAATTTGAGCTTGCCCCGACCCACTCCTCCATTAAATTTGATGGCCTGCTCATGTGCCTCTGTCATTGTAAGTGTTCTGTCAGCTGTATCTTCTGCTGTTTGACTTTGCAGAGGATCTTCTTTACCTGGCGGTTCCTCCATTTCATAGCCATTGGGTAATGACCTTAGAGTTAAAATCTTCTCTGGCGAACACACTATTGGCGAGTCAGTCCAGATTGGCATTGTAATCGAGTTTCTATTTCTTTCCGTCCAGTCGTACTAAGCTCCTGCCATACCAGATTATCTTCTGATGTTGTAGGCCTTGAAGCCAACTGCAAAATAAATATGTTCGTCCATTTGAAGTTGATTGCAAGGAAAGGGAGAAGAAAAGAAGAATGGAGATGCCTTCCGATCACCGGAAAATAGTGGGGAAAGGGACCCTGGCGGGATTTGGACATATCTTCGATTGTTGTGTCTGGGAGATTTTTCAAAAGCACAAGCAACACTTCGAATGTTCGTAGTATCACTTATGGGTGCATTTGAAGGTCTACCTAAGACATTGTACATCTTAGATGACCTGTCATTTTTATCCTTTATGTATGTTACTTGTTCTGTCAAATGTGGTAAGTGTGAGCTTTTTTCATCTTGGATTGACATCTTAATGTTCACATTTCTAGAATAGATATCTTGTGGATATGTTGGATCGTAGATGCTCAACAATCACTACTATGTTACATTACTGGTTTCACAATTGTTGGATAAAGTTTACTTATTGAAAGTATGTGTCTTCAAATAGTAATGCAATCCTGTAGTGATCAATCTTCCATTTCAGTGATCCTATTTGGGTTATATGTGCTACATCTTATAGTCTAAGGAGCTATTATCTTCAGATTATCCAGCTTACAACATTTTCTTAGTGCTGTTTCTATCAATAATACAACTTTCTAAAACAGAAACAACCCTCTAAGCAAATATAAGGTACTTTAGCTATGTTAAGCACCAATTCGAAGTTGAATTCTGACTCATTGCATTATTTAAAGTTATTTTCTTTCGGCTACAGACAAATTAATTAATGCATGTTGTGCTGTTATAAGAAAAAGTAACGAAAAACAGAACCTCCACGCAAGCTCCATCAACCAAGCAGTAAATTGGCACGGATGAGATCATCACTAAATTTACACTTGTAGTTTGTGTTTTATGTTTTGTTAGGATGTTAAACTATCTTGAATGCTCTCTTGTTCTTTATTCTGATGTTACCTGAATCTAATGATCTAGTTTTGGAATCTATAATGTTAACAGAACATGTTCTTTCCTCCTTTCATTCAATGCTTGTCACTGAGCGTTTTCTTTCTTTTGATCGACTATACTGTGTAGAAACTATGTAATGTTGAAATGTTGAGGTTTCTTTCTTTTATTTCAGAGTCTTCGTGTTGACGTTTGTCTTAGATAACTTTCTTTTTTGGTTTGTGTTTCTTGATTCACTTTAAGTGTTATGATCCTCTAGTTTAATATTCATTAGATTACCCTTTTTCTGTGAGATGACAGTCTTGCCAGGTTGACCTTGTTAAGGATGGTGGACATGCATATTTCATTAGATTTCTTGACAGCGTTGAGGCTTATCCAGAGCAAAGGGCAATGGCTGCATTTGTCTTGGCAGTAACTGCTGATGGTCACAGACGGGGTCAGGAGGCGTGTATTGAAGTGGGGCTTATTAATGTCTGCTTGAAGCATCTTCAGGGATCAACCTATAATGATGTCCAAACTGAACCATTGTATCTTCAATGGCTGTGCCTTTGTCTGGGAAAGCTCTGGGAGGATTTCACAGAGGCACAAGTACTAGGCTTGCAGGCAGATGCACCAGCAATATTTGCGCCTCTACTTACTCAATCGCAGCCTGAGGTTTGTTTAATCATATGTCAGTTTGGTGTATTATTAGTATGGTTCTCCATTATTGTTCAGACTTCGATTAAAAGAGCAATTTATTTCAGGTGCGAGCTGCATCTATATTTGCACTAGGTACTTTACTTGATGTTGGGTTTGATACATCTAAGGATGACATTGGAGAGGATGAAGACTACGGCAATGAGGAAAAAACTGGTGCAGAAGTCATAATGAAGAGCCTTTTAAGTGTTGTTTCGGATCCGAGCCCTTTGGTACGAGCTGAGGTTGCTGTTGGTATGTTTTTACTGAATTATTCCCACCCCGAGGAGACATTTCTTTGTGATGCACTTACTGTTGTTATTAACTTACTTCCTGATTTGTCCCATATTTATTCTTTCTTTTTGTTAGAGGAAAATATTGCAGGTTTAATTATTGTAGAAATTTGATGATAACTCTAAAACAGCGTGCCACTACATTTCTTGTATGATGAGGACACCTCCTGAACTAAATCTGTGCAGACTATGAATTTTGTTTATCTTTACTTTGAAGAGGCAGGTTAATGCTGAGCATACCGGTTGGTCAAAGACTTTAAAGTTGCTTTAAGGCAGGAGAAAGGGAAATAAAAAAATTAGTTGCACCCAAGGCCTCAGGTTCATACTCCCGCGGAGGTGAAAAAACACTAGATGATTTTTTTTCATCTGCCTAAGCTTGATGGGAAGAATTACCCGTACTTGTGCTGTTGAGAGGTACCCGGTGGAATCGCCGAGGTGCACACAGGCTGGTGCATAAATAAGTGTAGAATGATGAAACTTTTCTCTGTGCATGCTCTTATTTTCAAAAAGAATTAAATATAAGTTAGCTGCAATTGTTTCAATACATAAATGCATGAGATATAGCATGCCAAATGATATCTACTCCCTTAATAGCACGTCTAATTCTCTGATTTCTCCTCATTCTTCTCTTTTTCATCTTGTGCCTGATCTACTTTTGTGGACAGAATGTATGACCTAGTTTGTTCATGTTGCTTCATTCTTGTAGCCTTGGCTCGTTTTGCCTTTGGGCATAAGGTGCACCTGAAGTCGCTTGCAGCTGCATATTTGAAGAATCAATCTAATTCCATGCCGACTTCCTTGCCTTCTTCTACGGTCCAGAGTTCAGGTAGTGGCTATACGATGCCAACTTGTTATGTTCCACATGGAAGTGTAGTTCCATCTCCTAATGCTCCTTTATTGAGAGTGGTAGGTGACAGTCCGTCTATCTCTCACGATGGTAGGGTCTCGACTAGCAGCCCTGTTGCAACACCGGGCTTCATGCATGGATCTCCTTTGCCTGATGGTTCTTCTCATCATTCTGATTCTGGAAGACTGGGTGATGCTGTTAGCGATGGTGTTGTTAATCATATAAGACCCAGACCACTTGAAAATTCACTCTATACTAAGTCTGTGCAGGCCATGTTTGCCCTGGCAAAGGATCCATCACCTCGCGTTGCAGGTCTTGGATGTAGACTGCTTTCAATTATTGGGATTGACCAAGTGTTCACCAAGTCAGTCGAGTCTACTGTTGAATCCACAACATCTCCTGGCCCTAGTTCTGATGGATTGAATCGATCATCTTCTTGGTTTGACATGAGTGGAGGTATATTTAGTGCTTAAAGGAGACTAGGAGTCAGTATTACTGTTGTTTCTCTACCCCATAATCCATCAGTGTCAACCTTGATGTTCACGTATTTCCCTCCATACTCTTTTTCAAGTAATTCTGTTCCCCTTTGATACAATCTCCTATTTGAACTGTTGCAGGTAGGCGTTTACCTGTGCCTTTTAGGACTCCTCCTGTCAGTCCCCCCCAGTCCAGTTTCTTAAGGGGATTGCGAAGAGTTTATTCTTTAGACTTCAGGCATCGCCCAATGAACTCTCAAGACTCAGGGTCAGCTGATCCCCTCTTGGGTTCTGGTGGATCTTCTAGAGCTTCAGAATGCAGTTCTATTCCTCAATCAACCATTTATAATTGGAGCTGTGGCCACTTCTCAAAGCCACTTCTTTCTGCAGATGATGATAATGAAGAGAACATTTCTAGGAGAGAAGAGAAGGAGAAGTTAGCTCTTGACCTCATCACCAAATCCCAGCACTGTTGTGAGTCTACTGGGCTTATGGTTCATTCTTTCTCACACTACCATCTTTCATGGGTGTGTCATCATTTATCTAAAATGTCTCTGATTGGCCAATGCTTACTTCTTTGTCTCAGCGGTGAACAGACTGCACAATCAAATTGCCACTTGGGACACAAAGTCTGAGAGTGGTACGAGAACTGCTTTGCTGCATCCCTTCTCACCAGTTGTGATTGCTGCAGATGAGAGTGAACGGATCAGGTAGAGGAATATTGGCCTGAATGAAGACATTGTTTTCATTGTTCCTTTTTCACGATCTTCTCTCATAGTACTGCGGGAAGGGTCGGTTAGTTCAAGTTCTAGGTTAGTCGTTGGAGCTATGTGTAATCTGTCATTTCAACCAACAAATGCTGCTTTGCTGGTAAGCAATCATTCTCAAGTGGAAAGACTAGATGCAGGTCAATGTACATGTCCTGGAACTATGCCTGCTTTCTAAATAATCGCCATATCTTCTTAGAGCTTCAAGATGTAGATGCTACTTATATTGAAGTCTTTGTTTGACCTCACTCTTGTATGGTGTTGGATCAGGTGTTCTTGCTTATTTTTGCTTTTGTTTCTTAGTCTTCTCACCCCTTATGTTGCATCACCTCAGAACAACTTCTTGACTCTGTGGCCATTAGGTTTGAGTTATTGAGTTTCTTTTACATGGTCAACTTCTTGGCCATTAGATCTGATATATTGAGCTTCTTTTTCATGATAAAGGAACTAATGATACAGCAATACCTAGTATGTTCCCACGAGTGAGGTCCAGAGAGGGTGGGGGTGTATGCAGACCTCCCCTACCTTTATATGGTAGAGAGTTGTTTTCAATAGATCCTTGACTTAAGAAAAACATTTTTCAGAAAAAATCTGAAATAAACATAAGAGTAAAAAGCTATGATGAAAATATTGAAGGAACGGAAGTACCAATAGTAAAAGTATTGAAGATAACCGAATAAAGGAAATAATAGTAGTGATATAACTGAAGCATAAGATAATGCTAGCATAATAGTAATAGTATGACAAGGGAACAAATAGATGCACCAAGACTACAAGCTTCCATGACCACTATGAAGAGAGAAAATGCTCTACAACCTACTTGCCGTTTGCCCTAATCTTTGACCTCCATGCCCTCTATCTAGGATCATTTCCTCGGTAAACTAGAGATAGTCATATCTTGTCTGATCATATTTCCCCAATTCTTTCTCAGTTTACCTCTATCTCTCTTCAAACCTATCACTACCAACCTCCGCATCTTGTCTACACACGAAGGCTACTTCAGCCTTGCCTCACATATGTTCGTTCCTAATCCTGTCTCTTCTAGTATGCCCGCACATCCATCTAAGAATCCTCATTTCCTCTTAACTTCATATTCTGAAAATGGGAGTTCTTGACTGGCCATACTCCATCTTGTACAACATAGTTGGTCTAACAATCACTCTATAAAACTACCTTTAAGTCTCAATGACATATTCACTTAGGACACAAGATGTGCGCCTTTATTTCATCTGCCCCACTCCAATACGATGTGCAACATCTTGTCGTTCTACCCATTCCCTTGGATTTTAGACCCGTAAAGGAACAGATGATATTCTATTAAATTTATGTTTCTTAGAATCCTTGTGATTATTCTAGAACAAATGAATATAGTAGGTAACTTAATTTATTTCTATTATAATTAGGTATTGGTTTGTACTGATTTTCTTTTCTTTTTAGGACATGTATACAGAAGTATTCAAACCCCAATAGCTTGATGAAATAATCGTGCTGAGTTCCTCTTATTTTTTCTTCAACTTCACTAGGTATTAAAGCCTAGTTACGACCAGCAACATATAGAAATAAGATTTTCAGACAACCTCTTACGGTTGTCCGAAGCAGTGATATCAAAGGCGAAAAGCTCTAAGGTGTAGGAGGCTTTAAGCGCAAAGCGCAAATAAAGCGTGGGCTTTTACGGAAAAAGGCGCAAAGGGAGAAAAGAATAAAATATATATGTTTAGTCCAAGACTAATAACTTTAAACATGAATGACAAATATATGACCAACGAAATTGAAAAAAAAATTATGATAGAGTGAAATATCAATTATTTAGCTTCAAATTGTTCATAAGAGGCTCAGTGGCAAGGAAATACCTGCCTTAGAACCTTGACGACAACACTAAAGCGCACATAAAGCGAGGTGAAGTGCTCAACACATTTTGAGCCTCGCTTTAGGGCTTAAGCGCTCTTAAAGCGCGCCTTTGATAACACTGGTCCAAAGATAACTTTGTTTTCGTAGATGTTGTGATCAAACCGTTACCCGCTATGAGAACTGGAACACTAACATGAACAATCCTCAACCATCTCCGCTACTGTCTGCCGCTTCATGCGCCGACCAGAGCATCCCAGATTCTAACAGGATCTGTTCACGCGCTGGCCAACTGGAGTTTAGAGATTGATTGCCATTTTTTCAGATAAAAGGTACTCTTAAAAGACAGTCACAAGGTTCATGCGGTCAAATGATCAATTTGTAGACATATAATTTATATTCACTAGCTTGATGGGGAGTCGTAGAATCCTTGTGAATATTTTAGCACTCCCCCTTAAGTGCTGAATACAAATTATGTGTCAAGCTTGTTGCATATATAACTTGTTCTAGGCTAGGGACTTGGTGAACACGTTTGTGAGCTTGGTACATATAATTCTTGCACCAACTTGAGGGAATGGTAACATCATTGTGAATATTACTAGGAATATAGAAGCGGGAGCGGGAGTAGCTTAGGGTCGTCCTGCTTTGGAGAACATTTTCAGAATTTCAAAGTCTAATCAAGATATTGTACTTATATATTTGTAACTTGTACATGCTTGATGTGTTTGCTCAAAGTGTAGGTCCCACCTCAAATTGCCATGCCACATGCTGAATTTGGTAGCTTTTTGAACTATCAATTCGGTAAAAATGTGGGCCTGCTGAAAACTTTTGTTTCTCTCTCTGAGTAGCTTTTGTTCATCTTTGCTACTTGTGCTTTTGTGTGGAAAGACTAGATGCAGGTCAATGTACATGTCCTGGAACTATGCCTGCTTTCTAAATAATCGCCATATCTTCTTAGAGCTTCAAGACGTAGATGCTACTTATATTGAAGTCTTTGTTTGACCTCACTCTTGTATAGTGTTGGATCAGGTGTTTCTTGCTTATTTTTGCTTTTGTTTCTTAGTCAATGAATGCAAAGCAGTGTGATATTTCCATTTTAGTTTATACAACTTACTGTTTTCCTAAGTGCATGCACCAAAAGTAATCATCGTTATTTGTGTTAAATTAAATGTCATTGACCTGCATCTAGTCTTTCCACTTGAGAATGATTGCTTACCAGCAAAGCAGCATTTGTTGGTTGAAACGACAGATTACACATAGCTCCAACGACTAACCTAGAACTTGAACTAACCGACCCTTCCCGCAGTACTACGAGAGAAGATCGTGAAAAAGGAACGATGAAAACAATGTCTTCATTCAGGCCAATATTCCTCTACCTGATCCATTCACTCTCATCTGCAGCAATCACAACTGGTGAGAAGGGATGCAGCGAAGCAGTTCTCGTACCACTCTCAAACTTTGTGTCCCAAGTGGCAATTTGATTATGCAGTCTGTTCACCTCTGAGACAAAGAAGTAAGCATTGGCCAATTAGAGACATTTTAGATAAATACACACACATTAGGCATTACGTACACATGCATACATTTTTTGGTGCATAAATTACATCCATCATTCAGTGATTTTTTGACTGTTTAATATGTGTTTGTTTAGGCTTGTTTGTTCAACCCGACCTCATCCCAAAGTGGAAAGAGTTGTTGGGGTTGGCTTTCAACCTGGACTTCTACCAGCAAAGGTGACTACTATTGCCCTGTTTATATCTGGCCTGTCAAGTGTCAACTTGTCAGTTACTGGTTTCTCAGAAGACTGTATTTTGAAAAGAAAAAAAAAGAGTATATACTCACCATCACTCTCTTTTATGTTAGTTGTTCCAATAATTATTTCTACTAACAATTTTTTCTGCAGATAAAATATTCTCCAATATTGTTAAAGCAAAATGAGAATTCATGAACTGTTTCAATTGTTTCTTCTCAGGTTGTCAGTGCATCTCAGGCTGGTGATATTCTGTTCCTCGATATGAGAAATCTCAAGGCGGCTTACCTGACCATTGATGCTCACAGTGGATCACTTATATCTCTGGCGGTACATCGTCATGCACCCCTTATAGCAAGTGGTTCATTAAAGCAACTTATCAAAGTGTTCAACCTGGAGGGTAAGCAGTTAGGCATTATTAGGTATTTGTCCACCTTCATGGCTCAGACGATTGGATCTGTAAGATGCCTTACCTTCCATCCCTATCAAGTGCTGCTTGCTGCTGGTGCAGCAGATGCCTGTGTTTCTATCTACGCTGATGAGATTTCCCCACCAACATAACAACTTCATCGCTTTGTCACAAATTCTCAGATTGAGAAACAAGATTTTTAGGACTTGGGTGTGTTCCTTTGAGATGGTCAGTGGCGGATGGATTGTTGACATCTCTTCTGGTCCCAGTCTACATCTCTTAATACAGTGATCAGCTCACTGAGGTTGATGTTGACATCTTTGATTAGTTGCTGTCAACCTCTCCTGAAGAGCTGATCCGGCTCACGGAGGTTGCATGCTGCTTATTATTGAGCTGCATCAGCACAGAGTGGCGGAAAGTCAAGAAAAATCAACATATTGAACGGAAGCTTTGGAGAAAAATTCCATACAAAGGTAAAAATAGATGTAAATATCTTCATTCTTTGTTTCTTCTATTTTGTAAATATCATTTTATTCAATCTTCCCTTTGCTTAGCTTACTTCTTTCCTTTCTTTTCTCACCCATTTGAGTCAATTTGTACATATCAATTAGTTGCCTCCTACATAAGTGTGCATGAACGCTTTCTTTACTTTCTGTGTTGTCCTAACGTGTTATAATTTTTATGTTGTTAAGAGTCCTTAATGGAGATGATAGTTGGAGATTATTTTAAGCTTTGGATCAACTATTTCTGGTGGGAAGTAGCAAGTACCCGGTGTATGCCAAGTTGGTCCCGACAACACGATCATTAAAAGAAACTATTTCTGGTCACTTTCATGTCAACAGCAATTTTCTACAGGAATCAACTTCCATACCAAAGTGTGATGATGCAATGAGTTTGAATAGGTCTAGGGACGTGGCACAAACATCAAAATGCCTATATTGCAGTGGAAAACTACTCTCAGAAGAATTTGATTGATCCTGTCATCTTTACATTATCTTCGTACTTTAAAAAAAAAGTATATTCGTATAGTTGTATATTGTAAATGATAAGGAGAATGAAATTTATCATATTGAGTTAATTAACTATTCACTTCATTAATAATACGCTTCTACCTTTTACTATCTTGAAGCAAATGATTCTTTCATGGTTATACAAGTGATTCACGCACTAAACAACAACGGAATTACTTTTTGTGTCACGTTAGAATGGGGTGTTACTTAGACATTCCAAATGATGTTGGAGTATTCAATAGACATTGACCCAAGTTAAAGTATCATAGTGGAAATTAAAAAAGGGTAATTTAAAAGAGAAATTTTATTAGTTTAGGAGCTAATTACTTAGATTTTGTTTGTAATGTTATGAATCTTATCGGATTTTGGACTTGTGATGCATGTATAAGGTATCTCGAATACATGAGGTCAAAATTAGGTGTAATTTGTTTTATATGCATTTTATCCAAGCGCTTATCCAAGTGGATTCACATGTATTTGACTAATTCACTTGTCTCTCTCTATATATATGTGATTAATTCACTTGTCTCTCTCCTTGTATTTAGTATCTCATATATATATATATAGTGTGTGATTCACATGTATCGAGGATTTCGCTCGCATACCTCCTATCTTGCTCGTCTCTCTCCATTATTTTAGTATATTTAGTAGCAAAAATATATTTAGGTGTATCTAATTGGAAAAGTCATTTGAAATTATTATTGGTTAGTAAGATAATAAATATGAAATTATTTCAAACTATAGGGAAAATTAGTGAATGTGGTGGGGATATTTGTCTTGGGTAGTTTTTCCAAATTTAAACCAACTTCTAAGGGCTGTATAATTGCTAATGAATCACTTACGAAGAAGTGGAGTGATAATATATATATTATTATAAGTGGAAAGATTTTGAGTTAAAAGTTGAATTATGAAAATGTCCTTCACCAAATTAAAATGTTATAACACATCAAATTATTTAAATGTGAAACTAGACAAAAAAAAATAACAAAACTGAAAAAAAAATTAAATGTGAAACTAGAGAGTTCATGTATCTATTTCATTTGTATTACATAATCAAAAATCATGATTTTTTAGATGAAAAAGAAGATGAACCGTTATTTCTAAGTGATAAACAATGAAGAAGTTGAAAAGTCATTACTACCATTAAGAAAATAACTTTTACTATAAATAAGAGACGGTACATGTGCTATTCATAATGCATTAATGAAGTGTTAAAGATTGATTTACTGTTTCACAAAATATAATTTTTTTTCTTTTGCAGAATTTCAGAAGTTCTATAGTAATTAAATGTCATTAATATAATCAATATATCTGTTAAAAGAATCCTAAAGAACATCAAAGAAATTTATTCCCGTTTTACTCACGGACATATTTCAGCTCAGTAAGATTTCTTTAATTCTTGTTTTTTGATTTCTTTTTCATCATTATCCCCTTTTATTTAAAGCAATATTTGTATGAAATAAAAGATGGTGAAGTATGTAGAGTTAATGAATATATATCGAAATCATAAAATCGCCGAATTCAAATTTTATGGAATGATATATGAAGATTACCATCTCCATCATCAACATTAGCAAGATTCATGAGGTATGAAAGAAAGAAGAGTGGTTTCTTTGGAAAACATTTTTATAATTTTCATTAATTGATATATTTTTTATTGTTTCTTATGATTATATTATGTATAGATGAAAAACAATGTGTACAATTTAATATGTTATCACTACTAAAGAAGTGGTGTATAGTGTATTTATTGGGAGTCTTAAATGATATCTTGCTTAATTATTTTCATTTAATAAATTTCTAAAATTTTGCTCCGTGCCTTTTGCTAAATCATTATTTTGAATTTTATTATGATTATGAATATCAATAAATGAGAGTGTTAATGTAATTTTACTATACTAGATATATTTATTGTACTTGAAAGAAATAAAAAATAATTGAAATTGCCACTAAAATTATTTTTAAAAACTCAAAGGGAAGCTTCAAAAGTTTAGATAATTGATTTCTCCGGTATACTAATTTTGTTAGTTTAGTTTAATTGGTTCACTATTTATAGTTTATTATAATTACTTTTTTTACCGATGAAATATAGCATTGCTTTATTATTTTTATTTAATTAATATCTAAAATTTATTCTTTATCATTTTTATCAAAGTTCAATAGATCTTAAGTTTTGAAATCAATCATTGCGGTGATAGAAAAATAAAGTTAAGAAGTTAAGCAAGCAATTTAAGATTATTTTCTATGATAGCAATTGACATTAGATAACACATGCAATGCATGTGCCCAGGAACTAATATAGGGAAAAGCCTGTACATAGTTTTTTGTGTAGAAAAAATGTATATATACATCGTTTTATCAAAAAGGCTCATTCTCTAAAAGGGAACATAATTATATATTCTTTTACATGTAAATTTGATTATTTTCTTCTAAGATTTCAAACTAGGTGATTTATACTATGTTATACGATATCAAATCATATACTAAAGGTTTCAGGTTCGAGCCTCACAGGTGCATATCTTGGTTTCATGAATGACCAGAAATGTCTCTTGTTCACTGTGTATCAGTCTTAACTCTTACCTATGGCTAAATTGGAAAAAAAAATTGTTTAGTATTTTTCTCAGTTCATTAGTATATTATAAGACTTATGAAGAAGTACTCCTAGTAGGCTTGGTGACTAAAATTCAGTGCCACTATGACGATATATGCAAAGATCAAGGTGTCTTCCACTATGTACAATAATGTTATTTTTTTATTTAACTTCTCGATGGTTCTTTTATTTGTACATTAAATTTAAATACATGTCAAAAAAGTACTCTCTAGTAAATATAACATATTCAAAGGGATTAGAACTCGTAACTTTTGATTAAAGATAAAAGAATATTTCTCACTTCTTAATCCTTGTTGGTCATGATAATATATTCTTGATTGTAGGCTAAGAATTAATATAGATAACAAAAATAAAGATAAAGAATATGCATAATGGCAGAAAACAAGAAAGGTGTCTTCCACTATATATATATATATATATATATATATATATATATATATATATATGAAATAATTATATTCTACTTGTTTAATTTGTAGCCAAAAAGATATATTAAAAATAAAGAGTAATAAGATGAAGCATTTACAACACATCCGCCAAATAATTGAACTACTACGTAATTAATTTCTGTCTTAATCCATTTTGTCTTGAGAATTTTTTTTTTTATATTCTCCAATAATATTTGCCTACTATTATTTTTAAACACTTTTAAAAAATTATACATAAAAGGATAATTTATTATATCACTTTTTCAATATAATAAATACGATATTTTGAAAAATGCAATTGAAAAATAATTATAATTATAATAAGAGTAAATAGAAATTAAGGGTAAAATTATTCATTGATCACAAAGTCGATAAGTATTATTGAGCATCTCAAAATAATATAGTAGATAACTATTATCGGACAAAAGGAGTAATATGACAAGGGAAAAACATTTGATATACCCCTCATTATAAAAGTGACTCATATTTACTCTTTCATATATGTGTATCATTTATATAACAATATGAATATATATGAGTCACTGTCATAACGAGGGGTATGACAAATCCTTTTTCATATAACAATATGATGGAAATTAATTAATTAATTACTCTTTTTCGTATGAAAGAAAGTTGGATCGATAGAGATGGATGCAATGTTATGTTATTGGGTCCATATAAACTTTTAATGCTTTCAATGAAATGCCATAAATTCTAGTGTAAAGATATTAAATTGTGATAAATAATCCTCAGTATTGTTGAGTATGTTTTTAATGATGTTAAACAAAATATGATTGTTCTAAAGGTGTGTGGCTGTGCGCCCATATTTTTTATTCAAAAAAGTTTCGACAAATAATCAAACAAAATATTTAATAAATAATATTTGATAGGTATATACAAAACACTTCAAATTCAATAAATTGTGATCAAATTCTAAAATAGAATCCATATATAAAAGTTCAAAATTTTAGAGCTATTTAATCAGGTAGCAATTAATAACTTATCTCAAATTCAATAAAATGAGATCAAATTCTAAAATAGAATTTATATATATAAGTTTAAATTTTTTATTTGTCTCTACTCAGGTACTAATTAATAACATATCTCAATTTCAGTAAATTGTGATCAAATTCTAAAATAAAATTTATATATAGAACTTAAAATTTTAGATCCATTTCTAGTTGAGTACTAACTAATATACTACTCACTGCGTTCAATAATAGTTGTCCACTATATTATTTTGGGATATTCAATAATACTTGTCCATTTTATGAAATCAATAGATGATTTTACACTTGGTTCACTATCATTATCATGAATTATAGTCATTACGCCCTATTACATTTTTCAAGATATTATATTTATATATTAAAAAAGTGATAACGTAAAATTATCTTTTTATTTATAATTTTTAAAAAAAATTTATAAAGTCAATAATGGACAAGTATGGTCGAACACAAGGAGTAGCACCATAGATATGACAACCTAATGTCATTATGGAAGAGTAAATGTTAAGTTCTACCGGTGTGTGGTCCTATATGATATAAATATATATATCTATTTTTACTGACAATTTAATTTCTTGCATTATAATTTTTAGGTAGAGGCTCCCACTTACAACTAATCTTCCTTTACACCTAATACCAAACAAATGGTTTTTGACATAACTCCACAATGATTTTCTTCTTTTGTTATAAATATGATGCTAAGTGGTAGCACAATTATATATGAAATATCATCAAAAACAAATAAAGTATACTTCCTTTGCTTGACTTGAAAGTTTTCAAAGTTATCAATATATATATATAATAGAGCTAGTCTTTCAAATTGTGGCATCATGAGAAGGTGAGTTTTGGGCAAGATGGAGAAGCAGGGTACGTGCTTTACTAACTCATGTATTATAGTCTCTAAGATTAGTTAAAGTCGCGTGTAATCTTTTAAAAAACTTTTTAACGTATTTATACGTAGGTGTGTAGATTCGAGATTAAAGTTTGATGTTTATCATCCAATCCGTTGCATTGTAGGTTTAGAATCTAATATTTTTAGACATTTTAGTAAGTAATATTGTACATGTATATCAAACTCGTTAAATGTATGGTGCGTCTATATCTCTCTATATACACAATTTGATCGAAAGTAATATGTTCAATTAAACTCACAATACCGTCCTAAAATCTTATGCAATTTGACTTACAGTTCCTAAGAAATATGAGAAAAATTTACCATGTTATAAAAATTACCCTTTTTAAAGAAGAATACACTTTGTAGACTTTTCGTCAAATAAATGAGACTCAATATAGATAAAATGTTTATAATGTCATTAAACAGTTGTCAAATTAAAAAAAAACATATCGTTCTTGATTAAACAAAAATTTATATCACATAAATTGAGACGAAAAAATAATTCTAATATATATTGTTCCATGAGTTAAATGAGTTAGTTCTTCATGTGCCCATCTTCCCCATCGTGACCACTCAACCTTATTCTCTTTACAAACTCGCTCTTCTCCATATTTACAAGTAAGTGATTTTCTTCATTTTTAATATATATATATATATATATATATATATATATATATATATATATATATTGAGCTTTTAATGATCTCGTATAATTTTCAAGAAAAAATTCTTGCAATGGTAATGTTGTTGCTACATATCGTTCTTTAATTTTCTTTCATTATTTTCAATATAACTTTTTCGTATTGTATCTCATTTTCATATTGCTTTTCATACTTATTCTGTTATGCTTAATTACTTGAGTTGGAGATTCTTTATAAATAACCTCGATCACGATCTATACACTCATCAGATAGAAATAAGATTGCATATACATTATTTTTTTGGACCTCGATCACTTATAAGATTAGATTAGATTGAGTATGTTATATATGACGAAAGTAAAGGAAATGTAATACTAATTTACACCTAGTTCTGATTCAACCTGATCTTGTTTTCCAAATTGCATATTATTTTAATACATCATATAATGTTTAAGTTCATTATAATTAATAATTTGGAAAGAAGTAATTGGGATTATAAAATTGAGGATTAGGATTATTTGATAATCAGCAATTAACTTGGTGGAAGCTAGAGAATCTGCACCTGCCAGACCACATTGATGGTATAAAAATATGTATTGAATACAAAATAAAGGAAAAAGTGGAGTTTAATTTCTTAATAATTGGATGATACATTATAAACCACAAGAATTTCTTTAAATTCAGTGCTTTGTGAAATAACTTTCCACCTATTAGGACCAAAATTTAAGAAAAATAAAATTTGCTATTTGCATGAATAATTTTGTTTAAAAATGTTTATATATATATATATATATATATATATATATATATATATATACATATATATATATATATATATACATATATATATATATATATACATATATATATATATATATACATATATATATATATATATATACATATATATATATATATATATACATATATATATATATATATTTTCATATAGATCTAAGTCGAAAGTTCACTGGTTAACTAAATTTCAATTTGTTGTCATTGTGTTTAGTCTAATCAAGTTGCATTACGAGAAATCCAACTTATATAAGAAATATTATATAGTTTGATTTTTATTTAGTTATTGATTTACTTGATTTGGTTTACAAAATTTTAGCATACATTCATCAAATTTTTATTTTTCTAATCTATGTGGTTCTTGAACACCCTTCGTAAAATATTTGATTTCGTTACTGGTACATGTAATTTTGTTTTATGAAAGAATCAGAAGTCCCATTATATATATTTATAGTCTTATAAGTATTTATAGTATTTAGTTTTTTAATTTCTCTTTCATTAATTACTAATCTCCTGATGTGAGTATTACATGTGTATTTTTTATTAATTAATTAGTATTGTATTAGGAACATTATATAAATATTACTACGGATATACTTAAATTGTTTTTTTAAAAAAAACACAATTTTTAAAGAATGATGAATATTATTATGTTAGAATATTTAAAGTTTTTTAGTTTTAAGGTTCTTGCGATTTTTATGTTCTTGATACTAAAATGGTTGAGTTGAAACTAATTTTTATTCTTTTTCTACTATATATATATGCAACAACACATAGAAACAATGAAATATGAATATATTAGGTTAACACTATTAAATGTTTTATATAAATTTAAATTTTTAATGTGAAAAATCTTTTTTTCCTCAAAGTTTTAGAGAACAAGGATCTAATTTTTTTTTATAAAACAATTGAATTATTTATTTATTTCTTATCTCAGAATATCTAAAAGAAAATATTACTATTGTACGTTTAATGGAATGAGATGGAACTAGCGTTTCGTTCTACTTCTGTCTCTATCCCCTTAAATTGTCTCATCTGGTTGGATGGCCCTTAAATCATATATTTTTAGGCTTCGTTTAATAATATATTTTGAATTATATTTATTTTAATTCTAACTCAGGCCAGTGTTGAAAGCCTCGTGAAACTGAGATATGAAGACAAAAAAGACAAATCTGACTGCTAAAATGGACAATAGTTCCCTTTTTTTTTTCTTTTTTTCTTTTTTTTCACTTTTGGCTAATAAACTTTATTATATAAATTGTTGTATTTTGGGCATTTCAAAGTATTTTTATTTTCCGTTTCACATTTAAAGATTTCCAACTGTATTTACATTATATAGTAGCAAAATAACAACAATACATAATGAATAGTGTGATTATATGATTGTTATAAGATTAAGCAAAATAAAAATAAAATTTGACCATAAAGTGATAGGCACTAATCAACCGTACTCTTTGGTTCTTAGTTAGAGATATCATATTCGAATCCTCCTGAATATAACATTGTTTTTATTACAGAATATTTACTCGCGCAATGTGAGACTTCCATACTTAAATCCGAGTTTAGTTGAAAAGTTCAAAATTAATCATTTTTAAGTTCAAAATTTATTAAAAAATCTAATTTTATAAAATTCAAGTGTCCATCAGAAATTTCTTCATTTTCATATCTCAAACATCTAATTAAGACTAAAGAAGTACTTACGCTTTGATTACCCCTAGTATTCTGACATGTATCTATAAACAAAACCATGTAACAGATATTCTGGTTATAAATGTTTTTCACTAAGTTCTGAAATATTGATATATTGTCCTGTAGTAATTGATTCCTCTGCCATTTCGTTGAAATACTATAACTACTCTAGTAATTAATTCATGAAATGTTGAAGGGTTACCATCATTTTGTATTTATTTTTATTTTGGTTAGTGAAGGCAAAATAGGACAGATGATTATAAGATGAATAATCGTTATAAATCAAATTGAGCTACTAAGATTCTCGTATCATTTGTCAAATCTTGCTTCCTACCTCACAATTAATAAATATAACAACCCTCAACTTCATTTTTTGTATTGACAAGTCAAAAATTATCTAGTTCAGATCATAAAGGAGAAATTAATTCAAGGAAAAATATATAAAATCAGTATGAATATGTTGAATGAGGCATTAATTTCCCAAGAAAATCAGAACCCTCAATTTCCAAAAGCTCTTCTCAATAATCTATATGTTGGTCATTTTCTATCAAGATGGAGTGCCAGGTTACTATATATTATGCATTTTATTTTCTAAAATTTTCAAGTTTTGAGTGTAGAAATTTAGATTTTATGTATTGTTCTTGGTGTGATGAAACAGTAATGCTTGTTTTTAATCATAATATGTCTTCAAATTATTCACTATTAACGCAAATTTGAGTAGATTTCCACCCAAACCTTCATGTCTTCTGTTACGTTTATATAGTAGATGATGAACCCTTGGTGAAAATACTGCCTTTGTCGTTGCCTATGACCCTTTTCAGTAAAATCGATAAAACCAATATTTAGAGAATTCATAGTCTTATTAGGATTGGTAACGCCCTATTGAGGATTTTTATGTTAACGCTAAACACTATGTGTAGTGGTATAAATTCAAGAAGAAAAAAAATGATCATATTTCTTTTCTGGACTAATTACTTAGGAGAATTGACCTTTATGCTTCTCTAATTTGTCTGCCTATTGCATTCGATGAATCTCGAGCTCAGAAATTGTTAGTATGTTCATTAGAAGATCAGTCTTGTGGAGATTGCAGTGTTTTACTTCCTTTGAAGTGGTATTAATGCAGAATAACATGAACTCAGTGGGAGGGTGTGAGATATTTTAAAAGTTACCAAATTGTTCAAAAAAGCCTATGATACATGTTATGGAAGGCGTAATGCAATTATACGAGCGTTATTGTTAGATTCAATTATAAACATTTTCATAATTGCAGGATGTGGGAATTCTCTGTTGGTTTGTATATGATCAACGTCTGGCCAGACTCGTTACTCCTAACAGCTGCTTATGGTGTGGTAGAGTCTGCTTCAACGGCATTGTTTGGTCCTCTTGTTGGACAGTGGGTGGATAGGTTAACATATGTGAAGGTTCGTTCTCATTCATTCTTAACAGTCCCCTGCACATGATTGATAAAGATCCATGTCAAAACATAACACATTTTTCCGATAATTGCTATGGTAATTGTCATCTACTAATGGTTAACCATCATTCATACTGCAACAACAACTATGCCTCAACAACATCATTCATATTGATACGTAAATGATATATATGAATCAAAAGGTCAAAAAATGCTTTAGAGATATGTAGTAAATTGTGCTTTAGTGAAGTAAAATCACAAGACGCATTGGAAATCCACTTTAGTACTGTATTTTGATGAAAGGAACAAAAGCTTCTGCTTATGCAAAGGGGTAACAATATGGGATCGAGTAACCAATCGTTGGCATGCATGGTTTAGTAGCTATTGCATACTATTTTACATACCAAACATTTCATGGTAGTAGCAGAATACTCAGACCAGGACGGACACACAATTAGTTTCTAGCAGTTATATGTTGTATTTCAACACGTGATCACTTAAAGTTCACTTCTGATTAGGAATACAATTTTTGGACTTTGTTTCAGGTTCTCCAACTCTGGCTGCTAAGCCAAAATATCTCATTTATTGTTGCTGGAGGTGCAGTAATTGCTCTTTTAGTCCGTGCAGACTTGATATTGGTCAATCTTACGGCATTTATCTCACTTGTAAGTTTAATTTATATATCCGGAGCTGTTGGTGTGCTTTCATCTCTAGCTGGAACCATTTTGATCGAAAGAGAATGGTGAGACATCTAAAATTTTAGAGTGCTCGACCTCCTTTAATGAAATTTTCGTTCATAATTTAGTTTGGATGTGTTTACAATTAACTGAACTTTATTATCAGGGTAGTCGTAATATCAGAAGGGCATCCTCCTGGGCTGTTAACAAAGATGAATTCAATCATAAGACGAATAGATTTGATTTGCAAGCTATTCGCTCCGGTGGTAACTGGCTTCATTATCAGCTTTGTTTCTCTAACTGCATCAGCCATGACTCTAGCTCTTTGGAACGTTATATCCGTTTGCTTAGAATACTGGCTTCTTACATCAGCATACAATGGGATTCCAGCTCTAAGTGAAAGCAGCCTAAGGAGGGTCTCAAGATCTTTACCAGAGCATTCGGATTTAAGCCCTTCTATTTCTCATGAACAGAAAAGCTCACTTCACTCAGATGGAATTGGATTGGAGCAATCTGAAAATCTCTGGAGGAAAATAGTCGGTTCAATCTCAAGACTACCTTGCCTTTCTGCATGGAAAGTGTATTTGCAGCAAGATGTAGTCCTCCCAGGGCTAGCCCTTGCCTTACTTTTTTTCACCGTACTCAGGTGAAACTTAATAATGTTACTCGTTATTATGCAATCGACCTTAAAATCATTTGCAACTATCATCCTTGAAATTAACAACAGCACCAACCTCCCGGTGCTTTTGCCATTTTACCTAAGAAGGTTTTAATGTTACCAAGGAAAACTTTTAACTTTCTAGTAAAAATGTCTGATATATAATATACCGAGGGCATATTGATCATTTTTTTTTCTAATTTTGTGCCAACAGCTTTGGAACGTTGATGACTGCTACGCTTGAATGGGAAGGAATTCCTGCATATGTCATTGGAATTGCGCGTGGAGTAAGCGCAACAATAGGGATAGCTGCGACATTTCTCTACCCAATATTAGAATCACACATTTCAACACTTCGAACAGGCCTTTGGTCAATCTGGTCACAGGTATTAAGCATAGTAAATACTTAAGGAGCCAAAATCTGTATGGTGACAGGATATGATGAGAAGTTGCTAAGAATTTACGGAGTAATCATTGAATGTTCTGATTTCTAAGTTAGTTATATTCTGTTACCTATGCAGTGGACTTTCCTGTTGATATGTGTAGCTTCGATATGGGTCCATAAGAAATTTCTATCAGCATTTATGCTTATGGCTGGTGTGGCTGCATCGCGTTTGGGCTTGTGGATGTTTGACTTAGCAGTCATTCAGCAAATGCAGGTGAGGATGCTAAAACATTTCTGCTAGCTGTCGTTGAAGAGATTTGTCATCTTCATCGTTTTTTTTTGATAGCGGTTTACATTATATGACATCTTCATTTCTGGACTTGGACAGGATCATGTCCCTGAAAGTGATCGCTGTGTGGTAGGAGGAGTTCAAAACTCACTACAGTCTGTCCTGGAATTGATGACTTATCTCTCGGGCATAATCATATCTAATCCTCAGGTGATGATCATTGTAGATTTTCATTAATCACTCATTGTTATTTCAATCCGGAGAGGCAGTTTTAGAACTCATTATTCCCTCGAAGCTGTAACGTGACTTAGAAGTGCTTCACAAAAGAAACTAGGACTTGATAGAGAATAAGAGATTTAAGGAAATATAATCTATTACCATATTTATCTTTCATGTGATCAAGAAGACATGAGCCTTTGTGTAATCAAAAGTTGTCTTTCGGAAATTACAGGCTCTCTACCTCCACGAGGTAGGGATAAGGTCTGTGTACACTCTATCCCCCCAGACTCCACTTATGAGATTACATGGGATATGTTATTGTTGTCAAGTATTATTTTGTCCTGTGTTAAATAAAAGTTCTATCTTTCCATTACATAGACACAGAAAGCATTTTTTGTTTTCCATACTTGAAATGTGTTTTAACTTGTATCTTCTACTGCATTTGATTCAGGATTTCTGGAAGTTGATTCTTTTATCTTTCCTTTTAGTGACACTGGCCTCGACGTTATACAGTATACATGTTTATCGGGTTAGGAAGCACCTATTTCACTTTGAGAAGTTCAATTGTTTAGTAAGATCAACTTAGACTCTGCAACGATGAGCACGAAAAACAGAACCACAAGCATGTTTCCTTTTTATGAAACTTATGGTCGAACAACAATGCCACGAGGTTTGGTCCTTCCCTCTTCGAGTTTTCTTTACGTGTAACTTATGTGCATCTTGTAAAATACATTTTAGTAGAAAGCTCCATGACACAACTTGTATTCAGCACAGATTGCCTCAAAGGCTATTGTCAATGTGAGCCTTCTGTACACCATAAATGTTAATTGTTGCAACTGCTTTTAAGGCAATGCAAGATAAATTTTATATTTGAAAAGTTATTACCAAGATTGCTACTATTTAATTTATATTGTACTTCTTCAAGTGTTTGATTTCAAAACATGGAATGTCTAATACTATGTGCGATGATTTGTCGATCAACTATCTAATTTGTTTTAGGCTTGTCCAGATTTGGTTTCATCTTTACTTTTTATTCAACAATATTTTGGCAATAAAACCTTCTATGGAAAAATCATACTTACTAGTTTATCTTAAAGAAGAGAAAATTTCAGAAATAGCAAAGATTATAGAAATAATAAGTCTCTATGACTATAGTTTTGATAGTTGCACTTCACAGATATAGTTTCGTTTGTTATGGAGGTTGCAGTTTGTATATTTCGCTTGCAAATATACAAACATGGTAAGTATAGGCAAATGGAGGTTGCGGCTGTATATTTCGCTTGCCTATACAATTTTGTATATATATATATTTAGGAAGTTTTCAGAACTCCTTTTGTTTATACAAATATCTAGGGTAAGCATAGATAAGTTCTGGACTTATATAATCAGAAATCGAATTATACAAATTCTGAATTTATACAATCAGAAATCGAATTATACAAATTCTGAATTTATACTAATTAAGAAAGCTAATAATATTTTTTTGTGAAAATGTAACTACGAATTAAAAATAATCTAAATTATATTTATATTACATATATACTCTACATGTTTATCATTTCCGCGTAATTTTTCCTATTTTAAAGTCAACCTTTTGTATAGAAAAGATGTGTTATATACTCTTTGACACAATAACAGGGCCTAAGCCGGACGTAACCCTTAGTATCAAATTTATTCGAACTCAATATTTTTTATATGGACCTATGATATAGATATGATGAAAAAAAAAAAAAAAAAGGCCAAAAACGTTAACCTATAGCGGAGTTTAACGTATAATTTTAAAAGTTTAATGAATTTGAGGAAAGATGAGACCCCAGTTACCAACTGCCCCAAGCAAAACTAGTTTAATTTTCTTGTTAAACATTATCCCTAGATTTTAGGATTAAGAATAATACATCTTAATCTTGTAATTAAAGGTAACAACTAACAAGGAGTAGTAATGAACAAAAATTTAGAAGCTATGTGATACAGGTCTTTTCCTAATTTGTTCCCTCGTGTCAATATTTAATGTGTTTAAGAAACTTTAATTAATATTTTTTTGCAGAAACTTTAGATATATCATGTGACGTCAAGATAATTAGTGATCATAAACCACATTTAAACCATTTAACCAATAATGTCCTTTGCCTGCCAATTTTGACTCCACTCTCCCATTTGGATTTTATTTATTTTGCTAAGTATACTAGCTGTCTTCTAATTTATTTTTCGAAAAAAGGTTAAAGATATTTTTAACGTATCATAAATTATATTAATATGATCTGTTTTTATCGATTGGGATAAAAAATGTCTTTCAATGTTTTCTTTTAAAGATCTAAAAATATCATGGCAATAGTGATATGAAATTTTTACCTACTTATTTTTAAGTGATGTTATTATATTTTTTCTTTTTCATATAAAAATTTGTGAAAATTATCACTTTCAATTTCAATGAAAAAATAGTGATTTTTTAGTGAGTTGCTCCCTTTTGAACATTCATGCATGAACTATGGCCTAATGAATTCTCTTGCTTTATGAGTTACTCCCTCTGTCTTTATTTACTTGTCTATATTTCTTTTTTAGTTATTTTTATTTATTTGTCCATTTTGATAATCAGATAAAAAATATTTCCTATTTTACCTTCATTTAAACTAGTTGAAAATTTTCAAGTTTCAATCCATCATTTTTTAAACCATAATTAATAAGGATAAAATTATAATTTCGCTATACTAATTATTGCTATCTTAATATGTGTGTTATTTCTAAAGTAGACAATTAAATACGGACCTAGGAAGTATGAGTTATGACACAAAAAGTCAATACAATTAAATCATAACGTACGGAAATTAAATCATCATTTTTTCTTTTGAGCTTATTATTCCTCTTAATTACGTGTTTATAATAATCTTTCCAGCCATCTTTCTCAAAAAAATATTTTAATAACGGTTTCAGTTTTATTATGAATTAATTAATGTCAACATGGACCAACGTACGTAACTATAAGATGATAATTTTAATTACATGGTCAATGTATTAGCTAGAGAGCTCGTTAGTCGTTGCGTTTGGTTATGCATAAATATATTCCATTAGAATAATATCACATTTTTCTTTATTTGAGTTTCAAAAAATAAAATGTGATAACTATTTTGAGAAAAAAAAGTATTTAATTACAAACGTCCGTAAGACAGTATTGTACTATTTTTAATTCAATGTTAGAGAAAATCTCTTTTTAGGCTTTATATAGTATATTATAGGTATCATATGATGAATATTTATGCTCGGAAAGAAACCATCTTCGTAAATTATATTAATTTAATTCCTTTAATTAGTAGCAGGGAGTCTTTCCATTATTTTCTCTTCTTTTTTTGGACCGGGGGGGAGAGGGGGGGAGAGGGGGGAATCTAGTTCTTTTTAGTCATTTTAGTTACTAAAAAAATGATTAATACTTGGTATTTTAAAAAATTAAAAGATAATGTTTAATTTCTTTTTCTAATTTATATCCCTCAGTATTACTTTTATTGATATAACATAAATAGAGTAAATATTTATTTAAGATTAATAATAAATATGAAGGCAAATTAGTCAAAAGAAAAAGAAAACTCTTCTTATTAATATTGAAGTGTATGATCTAAAAGCTTCTGCCTGTTATATACGATATCTGGACCTAATTTAATCCCAAAAGCTAGCTCGTAGAATGAGGATTGTCCAAGTCCATATAAGAGATCAATTGTTCATCACTTTTTTGATGTTGGATTTCTTAACAACCCGTATGTCCAAACTCGTTAACAGGGGTGGTTTGACAGTGTTAAAAATAAGATATGTGCCTTAAGCCTCCAAACTTAAGGGGTCTCATTTTATTTTTTTTTATAATAATAGGTTATAAAAAGTAATTATTTTTTAACAAATATTGAATACTACTTATAGAAAAAGTAAACCTTTCATGAAAAATGAAGCAATTATTAGAAAAAATTGACATATTTTGAGTATTATATCTTATGAAAAATAATTTAAAATAAAAATGGTTATATTATAAGGTGAAAACTAGAAGAAATTTAGAGAAAATAGACAAATACCTCCCTAACCTATTACCGAATTCTCGACTACACACTTATACTTTCCGTGAGTCCTATTACCTCCTCAAGTTTTTTAAAAACAAAATATATACCACCATGAAACTAGACAATCACATTCTCAATATGTAGTGATGCACACTCGTGCCAACTGTTATTTATTATTATTTATATTTATTTATTTATCTTTTTATCACTTTTTCATTAATTACAAAAATATTTATATTTTTTTGTTCCTTCTTGTTGACACCCAATTTTTGACCCGCTCCGATATGATTTAATTAGCGAGCTTCATGAGTTTTCCAAATCACTTAAAATTAATTAGTTTTATAATTTTGTGAAATATAACGATACAATGTTTACAAAGTTGTGTATATAGCCGGTATATCTTGTGTATATTCGAAACCAGCCCACTCCATCGGCCCACTCCACTTCTACTTCCAACCCCAGGCCCAAATTCCCTTTCAACCCAAAAATTCCGACCCAATTCCCATTTCTGTCCAAACGTTTTGCCTAATCCAGCCCATTCCCCTTTACCCAAAACCCACTAAACTTAAATCTCCTACCCGACCCAACCCGTCCTACCCGGCTCCGACCCGTTTCCCCTTCCTTCTTCCCTTCCCCCTCACACCACGCATTCCCCCAACACCCCCCAACACCCACGCGAAAACTCCAGGAAATCCAGAGAAATGCAGAAGCTGCGTACAAAAAAAAACAGCTCCCCCAGTCGCGTCCCGCGTCTCCCCCACGCTCTCTCCCCTCCTCTCTCCATTGCGCGTGAGCAGGGCGTTGCGATAGCCCTGTAACCCTGTTTTCGCAGCAACGTCCCTGCAGCTGCAGCTTTGATGCAGCAAAATAGTGAGCAAGGCGACACGAAATCGTCCTTGCTCGTCCTTGCTCGCTTGGAGATGGTGACACGTCACCTCGACAGTACGTTGAACGCATCTCAACCCTCCACCTTGCTCTCAATCCGTTGGAATAGGTTAAAATTTGAGAGTATCTTCGGAGGATATTCTTGAGCTGGATAAGACTTGGAATTTGAAATTTGAAATGGCAAAAAAAAAATTATCGATCCCACCCAAAACTCGAAACCCTAATTCTCTTCTCCTCTATAAATAACCCCTTTCCTTCTTCAGAAAGGGGGTAGGACTTTTGGGTTTAAAAGAAAAGAATTTTCAGAGAGAGAGAATTGAGAAATCGTTAGTTGAAGTTCTTTGTTTTTTTCCTGTTGTTGTTGTGTGAACTGGAAAAATTTAGTTGGATTTTGAGGGTCGGAAGGAGTATAAGGGAAAGTCGAGTTGAAACTACGAAAGGGGGATTATCACTTTCGTTTGAGAGCCTCGAAAGTCGAAGTTGAAAGTTTCATTTTCTTCTTCATTTCTTTTTTGGAACTGTCAGCTGAAGGTGTCCGAAACAGGGTTTGCCTTTCAGTCTTGATCGCGATATCGTCATCTCAATCCGGCGATGCCAGCCCTTTACGCGCTTGCTCGAAATACTAGGTTCGCTGTGGAAGTCGTCGCTCATCGCTGCTCGTGTTCATCTCGGTCGCTGCCCCCGAAGAGGTAAATCTTTCGTCTTCAGATGTTTTCCTCGTTTGTATATGTTTAACGACCTATATGGAAAGAGTTTCGTTGTCGTTGTTTGTGGAGTGCTGGTCTCACTTTCTGCTTAATCTCTAATGTGGCCAAATTTGATTTTCTCTGTCGTTTTGGATTCATGGTTTGTCTGTTAAGATTTCAAATATGTCCTCTCTCTGTTTGCATTTGGACAACTGTGTCAAGCTGATTTGGTGAAGGGGAAATATGCTAGTTCTTATTTGTCCTTCCTCTGTATTGTATAACACTTCTCTCGCTTATTT